ATTCAGACAGGGGCTGGCACCTCTAATGCGTGCATGAGGCATTTGTTTTTGAGTCTGCATTGGCCCTGAACTGCGTGCAGGCAATCTATGTGTCAGGGCAGGGCTGTGGAACGGACAGGTAGGCCTAGTGGCAGGGTAACGCACTGGCTGACGACAACCACCACCAACAGACTGAAGTCCCTCAGGGCGCGGAGTCTAAGTCCCTGGCTGCCCTTCACCAGGGCCCCTGATGGTGGGGATGGACTTGACGCAACCAGGGACCAGGTCGCGGCCCCCGAGACACCCCAGCTGCGGTAATGGCCGCCGCCAATGGCGTGTAGCTGGTGAGAATGACAATAGCGTAGTCAGACAAGCCGGGTCAATAACAACGGGACAAAACAGTACAGAACAGTAGACAGAGAATCACAGGTCACGGGCCGGGTTCAGCAACGGAAGGTCAGATCAAAGGGAAACACAGAGAATGGTCTTAGTCACAAGCCGAGTCAGAATACCAGAAGAGTCACGAGCGTATACACAGAGCTGTAGGAAGACAAAGACACAAGACACAAGTGCAAAGAGCATGTGCAGATCCCAGGCTTATATGTACTCAGCCACACCCCTCTGGGGGATGGACCTCAGAGACCTGAAGGCATAAAAGATTCCCATCATGCTCAGCAGAAATCCAAGATGGATGCTAGCACATGGAGTAACATAACCTCTGGGAAAAGGTAGGACCTTGACACTATGGAAGTGGATGCAGACCCAGAGGCTGCAAAGATACACCCGCATGTCAACATCTGACAGATGTGCAGGAGCCAGCGAACAACCCCAAATGTACACAGTGTGCATTAGTGGCCATGCACCTGCTACTGCATGCCTGTCAAACATTGACATGCAGTTGTGTCCATGTAGCCGTTGCATCTCCATCCACTTCCAAAGGTTGCCTGCATGCAGCTGGGGGCAGATGTCCAAAACAGTCTCATGCTTGCAGTATGGATGTCAGCGCCTGTCTGAATGAGGCCTAACTGTTCAAGTTTGTAACAATTCTGGAAAGTCACATGCGGACCACCAGAGCTTGGTGTACAGACAATTACTATTGTGTAAATAATCAATTATCATTCCTTTGTCCTCCTCATTTAATTCAAACATACACACACATGCTGCCTTCTTGTCTAAGGCTTTGTTCACACAGGGTGTACAATACCACCATAAGCCCACAAAGGGCCGTGTTTTCCTGCGCAAGGATGCACAGGTGTTGCGTGAATCCCTATGCAGGAAGTCCCATTGATTTCTACTGGGACACAGGCATAGCTGGTGTGTCTCAATATGAAATTCATGTGGATGCATGCGGGTATGTGTCCCCGAACACACACACAGGGTCATTGTGGGGCCACAAACCTGCACCCACACGGGCATCCTATTGGGGCACAGCGGCTGTGTCCAGGCAGCCACTGTGTCCCAATGGAGATTAATGGAACTTCCTGCATGAAAATGCATGGAACACCTGTGCATCCCCATGAGGGAAAACATGGCTCTGCATGGGCGTATGGTGGTATTGTACACCCTGTGTGAACGAGGCATCAAACTAGGTCAGCTTTTACATCACTCCAAGCACCTGGGTATCTATTCTCTGGGCTGCAGCAGCTAATCTATTGACAATTAGGTACAACCGATCAGCTGTAACTGCTGAACCCTAAACGTCCATGACATAAAAAAACATATAAAGGAGAATCTTTGTTAACACATGATTGGTTGAATTAAACACAACTTACCTACTAAGCTCAGTGTACATGCACTTTGTTGAGTGAAAACTTTGTTTTAGTAAATCAACCCCAATGTTTGCAAAGGTAAAATCCTTCCTTTTTCAAATTTACTTTGTACAAACCCAGAAACTAAATGTAGACACAACATAAATACAATACTACGGGGTCTACAATTCTTCCATGGCAACAACACGCAAAATGTGAGCGCTGGTAGCAGTGGCTGCTTCAAGAGCTTGTATAAGCATAAGGACATGTTCTCACTGCCATAGTTTATTGATGTGAATACACAGTGCAAATACACTTTTGTTTTGTTTTTTTTAAATTCGACCGGGTTAAAAGTATGGGTGGGCGGGCTTCAAGGAAAATCCTGAACACCCAAAATTTCCTCCACTACTGTTTGTTTCAAATGCTCCTGCGCTTATGGACTCGATGTCAGAATGTCCTGGAACATGCACACCTTGGCCCTCAAATGGACCGGGGGAATCCAAATATACTGAATGGGGAAAGAACAAAAAGAGGGCGCACAGGCCTAGTGCATTACCATAAAAAATGTTTAATAAAAAATAAAGTAGGTGTTGTACTCACAAACGACAATATAGTCAAGGCACATATAGAAGAACAGCTGGATCAGCGCGGTGTTGATCCAGCTGTTCTTCTATGATGTGCCTTGACTATATTGTCGTTTGTGAGTACAACACCTACCATTTTTTATGGTAATGCACTAGGCCTGTGCGCCCTCTTTTTGTTCTCCCATACTGTTTGTTCACTGCTTAGGTCAGTGGTATAGGATGAGTGAGAACACCCAAATGCATATGTGATTTCCAGCGCCATTTGGGTGAATATGCCCCCTGAAAGGCCAGGTAGGTAATAATCACAATCATTGTGCATCCACTTTGCTATGTATTTTAAATAGCTGGAAAATTTCTACACAAAATTGAATTAAAGTCCTCTTTTCACAGGGACACTTCCATTCCATCTCAGGAGGACGACCCATAAAGTCTGATCAAAACAGAAAGGGATATATGTATATGTGACATCTGTATACATGCCGATTGCTTTCCTCCATTCAAGATGGAGGAATGGAGTGGAAACAGACCCATGTCATTCCTATGGGTGCTGGATGTAAATAGACATGCGCCCACCCTTATCTGCCTGCATCTGGTCAGGTCCACAAAGACATACCTGGACCAACACTTACTGCATTCGGTTCGTCAAAACTAAACGGACGCATTTCTGCTTACATCTGGTTGCCCATAGGCATACATTGCAATCCTTTTTTGATCAGTCTAATCACAGGACAAAAAAAGTGGACTGGAAAAACGCCTGTGAGAAAGGGGCCAAAACAAGACGATTTTTCAGTTTGAGGCAACAGGAATGAAAAAAGGAATCTCTGGCCTAAAATGCAATTCCAAGGTAATGAACAACACAGCAACATAAACAATGCAAAAAAAACAACCCACAGCAAAATGTACCACACACATGCTAGTTACAGAAGAAAAATACAGGAATTGCTTTTTATGGGGTCAAATCTGAAATGAGATTCTGCTGCTGGTAGCAACCTAGCAGAAAAAGGATTTCTAAGGCGGAGCACTCAGCTGGTTCAACTGTGTCACTCCCTGTTGCTCCATACCTACTTACTGGCTTGTAAGAAAAATTGTGCAGCATTTCAGCCCTCTTTTGGGATCCAGTTTCTAGCAAGTTGCTGCCAGTGACAGAATTTCTAATGTGACATGGTCATGTCCCACCTCTTGAACAGAATTGTTAATTGCCCAAAGACAGGTACACTTTAAATAAACAGGCCTATCATGAGATTCACTGCACTTATTACAGACATTACCCAACAACCTCTGTCTTGACTCAGCTGCACTTCAGTTATATACTATAGGGAATACAACTGAGAGGTCGTTTGGGTAATTACTGTACTTAAAATTTAAATTTTAAACAAGATTTGCATGATAGCTATGCTGAGGCCATGTGAGTATTGGTTATTGACCGCTTCAACATTACAGATCGCACGTAATGGATCAAATACTCCTAATATAAATTAAATAAATAAATTATATATATATATTTCATATTCTTTTTCTTTTTTTAAACGAACATCAAAATACATAATTTTAGAATGAAAGAGTCCACCTAAAGAAAGAACCACTCTAAGGGTATTCAGAACTCACTCCACAGTAGGTGCACAAAGCTGGGAACTCTAGGGGAGATTTCTAAACTAGGATCCTTAGGGCAAGTGCCAGCAGTAGGTGATTCGGTTTTAGGTGAACGGAGTCTCTAAAGTGTACCTTGTCCTACACAAAATAGAGCTTGCCATATCAGGCATAATAATGAAGTGTCTGACTTAAAACCAGCCTGGGCTTCCTCTTAGTAACTAGTCTGTCCCCTTCAATATTTCTACTTGCTAAGAAAGGAAGAATGTAACTGTTTCATAAAAAGAATTATTTTCTAAACCAGCATTACAAATCCCACTGCCTCTCCATGACGGAGGCATGAAGCACACATCATGGCTCAGTTTCTATCTTTGATCAGCTCCTACATCAATTTTGGTTCTCCATTTGGTGTAGGGTGTAGGTGCACTTTAACCTCCTCAATTACGTTGCTGTCAGAAAAATAAAACAATCTGCAAATAGAATGCACACTTCAAACGCAGGCATGGAAATATATATTGCACCAAACGTTCAGATCAATCGGCAAGGCCAATTACCCAGTTTACTGCTTCAGAAATCAAAAACATCATCCCCATCATCCTCTACGTCATCCAGGGACCAGTCCCAGTCCTTAAAAGCCAGGTCAAGTAGTCTGCAACAGGAGCGTTGAGGTTTAGAAGTAGGCGAGCAAACCCCTGGTGTCCTCCTGTCATGTGACCGGTTCCCGATACAGATTACAGAGCACCAGGATAATTTTACCTTCTCTCTGACTAACCTACCTGTTCTACGATTTCGAAACCAAAGTGTCTATATAGTGTGGAACATAAAGCAGGTGAACCTACCCACAGAAACAAATCCGTTTTCTCTGCTCAGTTTAATTTTTTTATTTTAAACCGTTCTATTATGTAGCAGTTTTCCCTGGAAGTGAAGAAGGTAAATCTCCACACTTGTAAAGCTTTGATTGAGAAATAGTACAGTAAACCTGAATAAAGATACTTGTGTTAGGAGGGTTAGTGTGCAAAGGTTAGTATGCATCTCAAGCCTGACACTGACCACAAAGAGATAGATGCATGTTTACTTACTGTTTGATAAAACTTAATATAAATCAATGGAGAATGATTCGGAGGGAAGGAGCAGAGCTAGAAACAGAATTAGTAACGAGGAAAATAAGATGATGCCAGGGCAGATGAACACGTTTTGGTGACAGTGAATAATGACTCAAGAAAGATGTTCTGTGAATGATTTAATTCAATGTACAAGACCAATGCATATACTGTGCCAAGGGGTGGAAGTGAGAGGAGAGAGGGTGATGCAATGCAATGAGTATGTTATATGTAATATACAGCCCTGTGCAAAAGTTTAAGCCAGGTGTGAAGAAATACTGAAAAATAAGAATGCTTTCAAAAAGATATATTTTAATTGGTTATTTTTATCAATTTACAAAATGCAAAAGAAAATTTTAAATCAAATCAATGTGGCAACCCATTGGCTTCAAACCAGCATCTTCTTTCTAGTTACGCTTGCACACAGTACTTGAAGGAACTCGGCAGGTAGGTTGTTGCAAACATCTTGGGAGAGCTAACCACAGATCTTCTGTGAATGTAGGCTGCCTCAAATCCCTCTGCCTCTTCATGTAATCCCAGACAGACTATGATGTTGAGATCAGGGCTCTGTGGGGGCCAAATCACCACTTCTAGGACTCCTTGTTCTTCTTTACACTGAAGATAGTTCTTAATTTCATTGGCTGTATGTTTGGGGTCATTGTTCTGCTGCAGAATATATTTGGGGCCAATCACATTCCACCCTGATCATATGGCATGATGGATAGGTCTCTGCCTATATTTTTAAGCATTGGGGACACCACTGATCGGGCAACGTTGAGGACCGTAGACATGGTGGTAGACCAAGGAAACTTAATGCAGCAGATGACAGACACATCATGTTTCCTTCCCTTCGACATCGGAAGATATTCAGCACCGCCATCAGCACAAAACTGGAGGAAACTAATGGGACCAAGGTACACCCATCTACTGTCGGGAGAAGTCTGGGCAGAAGTGGTGTTGGTGGATGAATTGTGGCCAAAAAGCCATACCTCCAATATGGTAACAAGGCTAAGCAACTCAACTATGCATAAAAAACAAAAACGGGGGTGCAGAAAAATTGCAGCAGGTGCTGTGGACTGATGAGACAAATTTAAAAATATTTGGTTGTAGTAGGAGGAAGTTTGTGAAGGACTGGAGAGGGGTACATTAATGAGTGTCTGTAGTCACAGTGAAGCATGGTGGAGGTTCCTTGGAAGTTTGGGGCTGCATTTCTGCAAATGCTGAAGAACACAGGCAGATACTTCTCAATCATGCCATACCATCAGGGAGGCATGTGATTGGCCCCAAATTTATTCTGCAGCAGGACAACGACCCCAAACATACAGCCAATGTCAATAAGAAGAATCAAGAAGAACAAGGAGTCTTTGAAGTGATCGTTCAGCCCCCAAAAAGTCATGTTCTGAATGTCAATGAGTCCACCTGGGATTACATGAAGAAACAGAAGGAACTGAGGCAGCCTACATCCACAGAAGATTTCCAAGATGTTTGGAACAACCTACCTGATGAGTTCCTTTAAAAACTGTGTGCAGATGTACCTAAAAAAACTCAAATGATGTGGTTTTGAAGGCAAAGGGTGGTCACACCAAAATTTTGATTTGATTTAGATTTCTCTTCTGTTTATTAGCTTTCCATTTTGGTAATTAATAAAAGTAAACTATGAACACTTCAATTTTTGAAACCATTCTTCATTTACAGCATTTTTCACACCTGCCTAAAATGTTTGCACAATACTATATACAGGGGGTAATATTAGTATAGAACACATCACCATTTTTCTCAGTAAATATATTTATGAAAGGTGCTATGGTATGAAATTTTCACCACATATCGGTAACAACCCATGCAATCCATACATACAAAGAAACCAAAACAAATAAGTTCAGAAATTAAGATATGTGTAATAAAATGGAATGACACAGGGAAAGAGTATTGAACACATGATGAAAGAGAGGTGCATAAAGATGTTTCTTGTGTGACATCTTGGTAATGAGACATCTTGTTATAGGCCATCAGTTGAGACTGAACCAGCTGATATTAATTTGCACAAGGGCCAGGATTAATGTCAGGGCTCCCGGGTGTGACCAGAGGTGTGTGACTGACGCAGGGAAACGCAGGCTTCAGATATGTTATAAACAATATAATTTATTAACACTAACAATACAAACAAACGCAGTGCAATACTAAAACATAACACAGTGCAAACAAACCAAGCCAACCACCCACAGATAACAGTACATACAATGCAAGCGTCGTCAGGCAGGCCGGGTCAATATCAATCGGGCAGGTAGGTACAGGGGGAGCAAGCGGAGAATGGTCGGGGTCACAAGCCAGGTTCAGCAGGTAGCGGGCAGCGTGGTACAGAGGGTCAGGCAGAGGAGAATGGTCAGACAAGCCAGGGATCAGGAGCAGGAGAATGGTCAGACAAGCCAGGGATCAGAGCAGGGTCAGCAGAGAATTATTATTATTATTATACAGTATTTATCAGAATCAGACTGGAACAGGAAACAGGGCCCAGGAGAAACACAACACCAAGGCAGAGTCTGCAGGTCTGAATGTCCCTTAAATACACCAGTATAATTAGTTCCAGGTGTTTGACTGGCTGCAAGGTTGAGTCTCTGATTGCTGGGAGCACCCGCTGGCCAGCCCTGGTACTGCAGCTCATAAGGCAGGTGAGTCCCACTATTGCTGGCCAGTCCATTCCTGACAATTGCCTTCTAATTAAAGACATATATCTGCTGGTGTCTTGGCTTTCCATGCCTTTATGCACCTCTCTTTCATCATGCATTCAATACTTTTTCCCTGTGTTATTCCATTTTATTACACATAACAATTTCTGAACTTATTTGTTCAGGTTTCTTTGTATGAGTGGATTGCATGGGATGTTATCGACCTACGGTGAAAAGTTCATGTCAATAGCACCTTTGGAAATATATTTACCTTGCAAAATGGTGACGTGTTCAATACCAATTTTACCCGATATATATATATTATATATATATATATATATATATATTATAATAATTATTTATCTTAAAAGGTAATGCATTTATAGCCAAGGACTGCTTGCTCTCATGGTATAAATGTGAATATGCAGTATGTCACACAAGTAAGAATTAAAGGGTCAGCTGTCACTGCACGCAGAACATGCAAGTGCATTTTCTGTTCAGTTACTGACACCTTGGTGGAAAGTTACGGATAACTATGCTAAGGACTCCGTGTGACCATATTTTTTTTTTTTTTACTGCAATTATATTTGCTTGTAGCCTGTTCTGATATGGGCCTTTACTTTGTGTGCTGCCCAAGCCTATTGTCTTCAGTTGAAAAACATAAAGTGTTAGAGCTTTGCTTTATAGACAGGTTACAGAGACAGGTTTTAGGATGACATACATGGATACTGTGCTCTCCAACTGCTCTGTTCTTCTGTGGGAACCTCTGGAAATACCCAATATATCAGAGTAAAGGGGAACATGAGTCTTTCCCCTTTCTTCAGGCAATTAGTGCTATGGGGTTTAAAAAGGCAAATTGGGTGCCATATGTGTAACAGCATATGTGGATTGTGCACTATATTAAACAATTAAAGAGCCCAAATCCCAACAAAAACATTATCCAACATAGTAACCTTATTATATGGTTCATTTAAAACCATAACATATGGCATTATATTTATATACACACACAAGTGTAACATGCAAAAATTAGACCGCCCCTTTTAGTTCTACCGCTCACAAACTAAATTGGCATATTTCATATCACCCTTAGGGCCACTCCATTTTCTTTTGGTGGTTAAGACATAATTGGTTTACAGTTAACATGCTAGTGTTCTTAATTATGTGGTGGCAAAGCTTGAGTTATCTATATACATTTTGTAGCCCTTTGCATCTACTTCCTCAGGAGATATAAGGGGGTATTGGCATAGATATATTACATGTTCCTCAAATAAACTGTTAAAGGAGTAGTAATATCCATCCTCAGGGAGCCACAAAAAGGTACTGTGCATAGGTGCAGTCTAAAATGCTATTCTAGAGATGTATTACCATCTAGGGTCACTAGATGTCACTGTCACTCAATGGGTGGCCAAACTAAATGTGTCTCACCTAATTGTTCTGGGCTCAGTGCACCAAAGATTCATGGATCGCCTTCACTACCCGAAGTACTGTGCACACAGCTTGTACACCAATGAGGTGCATAGTCACTGCCAGGGTCCACATCAAAGACAGGCGTCTCTGGTTTTCATTATGTCCAGTTAGTGTATATTGCAGTCCCCATAGCTGCATGCTGCTTAAGCTCCCTAACCACGTATTTAAGAACACTTTTACTGTTTTAACGTTTGCTGTATACGAATGATGTCATAACCAAAAAGGGGAACAGTGTGGCCCCAAGGCACTATGAATTGCTGACTATTTGTTTTTCTGATATTTGCTGAATAGTTGTTGATTTATCAATGAATACCAATTTAGTTTTTGGGGGGCGATCTATAAAAGGGAGGTATTATTTTTGCTTGTTACATTTATATATATATATATCACCATATTTAATTAATTTAAAGCATTATTAAACCCTAAAGCAAGCATTTCTTATTTAGCAGCTTAACAATTCTTAGATGTGATGCCTGCATTAGTTCTTCTTTAAGGCTTTCTTCGATTTTCATCTGGTGATCCAGCCAGTAAGCTCTCTTTCAGATGTATCAGTTTACAGGGATGAAAGAAAACATTCATCACTGGACAGGGGTGCTTATGATGATAAGATTTTATTTATGTAAAACCTTTATTTAAAAAAAAAACTGTTTGCTATCACTGATTATAAAGTGTGAGCTGGAGTTTGGCTTCAATCTGTTAGTGTATCTAAATCTGCTAGTTCATCCAACACTTCCCTCCCCTCAGAATGATAATGCTGCTGTCCAGAGTGGAGGCACTTTAATACAGGAGGTGTGTTACTGGCCAGATCACCAAGCGAGAACAGAGGGGAAAAGCCTAAAAAGAGAAAACTAATGCAGCAACCACATCTAATGATTTGTAAGCAGCTGTACATTACATTTTTGGTTTTGGTTTTAATGCTGCTTTAAAAAGGACCCATATAATAAATGAGTTTTTTCAAATCTATTGGAATGCTTGTTCCTGGTACCATGCAAGTCCCATTTTTTAAGGATACTATGCTAAACAAATCAGGTGTCCTATCCTGAGAACCTGTCACAGATTCTCTTGAAAAGTAACCTGTCAGGACAGAGCCGCCACTGTGGGGCTGTAATCTTCATACAGACTTCAACATAATCTGAACAAGTGACCTAACCCAAGTGTAATAATAAAAAAAAATAGCTCTGATATTTTCTGGCATAGTCCCTGGAATTAGCACATGGCTCAGCTTGCAAGGAATTCCCAACTAATGTCCAAAGGGAAACCGAGAGGTGTGTCAGTCTCCTCAGTCCCTCACAGTGTTCAGTGGTTCCTTTGCCTGACTTTTAATTATTACAGGACTCAGTAGAGGTTAAGGGGGGGGGGACCACTAAACACTGATGGAGCCAGAAGATTGACACTCCCTAATGCAGGCCATACATGGGTCCAATTTCCGAACAATTTTTTGTCCAAAAATCTAAAACGTTGTTAGCTCAGTAATCCGATGGCGCCATCAATGATTTCGAAAATCGACCAACAAAGTCATGAAGTTCACTCCATATAACTTCTGTTCCTTCCAGGTCACGGCTCATGCGCATATTCTTTTCGGAAAAACAATCACACGATTTGACCAGCATTGAGTCGAAAATCGGTTGTTTTTTCACAAATTTTCCAACATGCTCTATCACCGAAAAGGGGAGAAACCACGAAAATTGGCCAGTGCCATTAACCCACTAACAGATTGAAAATTGGCTGATTATTCTTAGGTCCGATTTTCAGACCCATGTATTGGCCGGCATAAGTGTGAGTTGCAGTTCATATTTCTGCTGGGAGTTTTGGCAGCAAGGTAAGCATCTACTCACTTACCCTAAATAGATTGGTTTTTTACACTTGTGTGAACTGAAGATGTGAGTTACAGTTATTTCTAACCTCCACCTGACTGTAGTAGATGAAGATGGAGCAAAACATGAATCAAAGCAGTAACCCATATAGTTGTAAGCCACAACGTTTATTAGAACAGGAGGAAATTCCACCCGGTAAAGATCCAATGTCATGCACTGAGCAGTATTCGCTCAATGATGCAGTAACCATTCCCACCACATACTGGTGCTAGATTCCCTCCCTACTAATCCAGTGTGACTAGGATACATTGGACTTACCTGGGTTTGTTTGGAGGAAGCTGTCGACTAGGCCGCCTGATTGACGGATTTGGCTGTACCTTCATGGAAGTTCTTGGAGAGGAGCGGGCAAAAGGGTCAGGTGCTGGTGGCTTCTTGGGGATTTTCTTCACCAGCCGACTTACCCACTTCTGCTGCTCTTCTGTGGAGTTTGCTAGTAACAGTAGATTCTTCGCCGTAGAAATGTCGTAGTTTACTATAAAGAAACATTACAGAAAGTAAGAATAAAACAGGAATTTTAGCCATTTTAATATTTTTTTTTCTTTTCACAAAAAATGTGAAATGAATCAGCTTCATAGCCTTTTTACTAATGTGTGTTAAAAACTGTATTGCTATGCATAGCCCTTAACTATATACGTGCAAGGAAGCAGCCATATGTGGCCATGACATATGCAGGATCTGCTCCCTGTGCTGTGCTATGTGGATGCTCTCATCTCACTGCCGCTCTAATAGACAGGTTCTCTTTAATTGAGTACATCAGACTCTGTGTAGGTGCTAATGATCTGAAACACCTGCAATGCACCCGATAGCCACAGAAAATGTGATCCTTTGCCTAGGCTTTAAAGTGTATGTATAGCTAGAATGTTTTAGTTTAACCTTTTCCTACTCTATCCAAAACTAAAGCCTATGTTTGGTTATTTTTTTACGGTGTTCTATTGGGGATATTTCCTTTCACTTGCTGTTCCTGAGATGTATAAAGAGACAAAAAAACCTCTATAAAGTGAGGGGAATTCCCTTCGTAGACAGTTGTCACAAGCAAGCTTTTTTCTCTTATTTCCTTTTGCAGTCAGGAACTTTGTCATGTTTCACATGACTGTCATATGCCTTTAAGTGTTCTCTATATTTTGTCTCTGCTCCTCCCTTTCCTCTGGTTTAGTTAATGCTGCATAGATAGCCCACCCCTTTTCCCAGTAATGCATTTCAGCAAGCCTCATGTCATGAAGCAGGTCACATTATGATCTTTTGACCTATCAGATGTTCATTGTTTTAAGATTCTCTCAGTTCATGGAATAAACTTCACAAGGTCTACAAGATGTCTTCTGGACTGAGTTACTGCCTGTGATTCAACTAGGATTGGAGTTATTGCTATCTCATCACAACTGTAAGTTACAGAGATCACACTTTCAATGCTTAGATTGGAGAGACAGAACAAACTTCCTATGACTTTCTTTTGCAGTGACAGCGGTCACCATAACAAAGAGAGAGGGTAAAATTCACCTAGCCTGGAGATGCACAGTAATAGCAACTCGAAAGTTGTTGTAATCCCTCCCAACTCTATCCACAACTTTAAGCTTTGACTATGAAAGTTCATGAAATAACCTTTGAAACATAAGTACATGTAAACCCTGACAATGGACTTTCCTTATATTCTACAATTTGGTGTAATAAATACATTAAAACGGTTTCGTTATATCGGTTCAAAACAAAACCAAAAAAAAAAAAAAAAAAAAAATCCTGCCAGAAATGCAATGAGCGTATAATAGTGCTGCAGTGAAATCTCAGTGTTATCAGCCCTGCCCAGTTCACTTATATGGACTACAGAAGACCTCCGTCTATACCATGTAGAAGAGAAAAGGTGAAGATGTTATGTAATCCAAATTAGGAGTAAAGAGCCCAGTGTACGGGTAGGCAGTGTTTGACACTCCAGCTGTGATAAATCTACAAATCCCATCATGTGTCTGCCTCTTAGACTCATTCATGTGAATGTCAGTCTTCATTGCCAACCCCTGGCCTAGGGTGACAACACACTGCTTCACCAAAGATACAGTATATAGTGAGGTAGTGCTGTTTCACCCTAGGAAAGAAAGTATGTTACTGACAGGATCGAATCTAAGGAATGGCAAGCTGCCATATACTACAATTTTATTTCTGGGATTAGATACACATTAACCTACATGACTACTCCGTTTATAGGGAAACAAACTTGATATGTAACAATATTCAGAAGAAAGCAGAACTAAAGGTAAAGGGTTCTGGGCCATGGAAAGGCATTTGTCTACACAGAGATGACTTCATTTTAGCAATACCACTGAAGGACATTGGAGGAAGCCAATCAAAACAACCAGACATGACAGCAGTGCATCCATGGAAACCAACAAAGTTTAAAGAGTCCTATCGCCAACCTAAAAAAATTGCTGGAAACAATCAAATGTTTTAAATGCTTACTTGCAGCATTTTCCCATTCCATAATTGATTTTTTTTTTGTCACTTGCAATATACATTTGCACTTGCTACAAAAATAACTAGTTAACTCCCTGGAGCAACCTCCTCCCTCCTAGCTTATTTTAAACATCTTCCTTTGTAGAAGTGTCAAATTACTCCCTGTGCTGGCCCAGCTCCTTCACCCCTCCCTTCGCAGCCTTTTATAAAGAAGCCAGGGTAGCTTTTAGTGTGACACTATAGTTACAGTTTTGAGTTTTCTGGTATCACATCTAAGATGGCAGCACCCAGCAGCGATTTTGGATGTCTACACATGGGAGGCTTTTAAAGGTAAACAACACGCATAAAGAATGTTAAGAGCACATATAATCTTGTATGACAATTTTTGTTCTAATGAATGGTCTGGCAACAGGGTCTCTTGAAAGCAGAAAAGCTGTACAGGCATAAGACGGTTTTCAGCATTCCAAATGCACATCTTTTTGTTTAATAGTTACAGTCATCCGATGCAGGTGTACACTTGCAGCACCTGCCCTGATACCAAGGGACAGCAGACTTCTGCCTGAAATAAGCCAACCAACTGATGACATCATCTTTGTGAGCTCAGGACCTTTCTGCCAAGTAATTTACATCTTCCCTCAGTTCCAATAGCTGAGATGGAAAGGGGTTACAATACTGTAATGTCACCTAAAAAGAAGTTGGACATGAACAGATGGGGCACACTAGTGTTACCTTTGCAAGGTGCTATCATGTCCTCCTTCTTATCCATGTGATCCTTGTGGGATTTGATATGGCAGCGTCGGCACTCTAAGGCAGGAGGGGGTTTGAACATGTGCCATAGGGGCTTCATACAGGCATCACAAGTGGTCGGGAAGTGGTAAAGGGTGGGGATGAACTCGTGACCCTTGTGACAAATGTAGTTCGACTTCTCCGCGGGATCCACTGGAAATTCCTGTTCCTTCTTGCTTTCTCCTTCATTGTCATATAAAATCTACAAGACAGAAAAATAAAAAATCAGCACAGGAAATGATTCATCAATTTCTTTTTTTTTTTATCTTGTTCCATTTTCATCTCCAATACATTTGATTTCAATTAATTAGGGCACACCAAAAATCATTTAAGCCTCTCATTGTAGTAAATACTAAATAGTAACTAGTACCAGGGTCATCTAACAAACAAAAGGAATTCAACCTGCCAATACGTATACCATGGGACAGATTCAAAAGAAATATGCATTACAAAATTACAGTGGCTGTCATTGTTTAACTTCTAAAAATTCTATTTCCCTTCCCCTGCTTCAATGTTCAGAGTGACTGTCCCAGAACAAGCATACAAGTGAACATGGAATTCCTTCAGGTTCACTGACTACACTCTCTTGGCCTCAGACTCTCCGCTCTCTTCTGGTTCTCCTCCTATCTATCGCAGCGCTCCTTCGGTGTTACCTATAACGCTGCCTCCTCCTCTTCACTCCCTCTCTCTGTAGGGATCCCTCAAGGTTCTGTCCTCGGACCCCTTCTCCATCTACACCTCCTCCCTTGGTCAATTAATAAACTCCCACGGCTTCAATTACCATCTCTATGCTGATGACACACAAATCTATCTGTCTACTCCTCACCTCACCCCACCCCTTCAGTCTCCACTCGCATCACTAGCCTACTAAGTGACATATCACCATGGATGTCACTCCACTTCCTCAAACTCAATTTTTCCAAAACCGAGCTCTTAGTATTCCCCCCAGCCCGTGCCCCCTCCACTGACTTCACCATCAAGATCGATGACACCATCCTCAGTCCATCCCCTCATGCCAGGATACTAGGTATAATCCTAGACTCTCATCTGTCCTTTCAGCCCCAGATCCAATCGCTGACAAAATCATGTAGACTTCCCTCCGCAACATCTCCAAGATACGACTGTTCCTAACCCCGGAAACCTCTAAGCAACTTATTCACTCCCTTGCCATATCACGCCTCAACTATTCTAACTCCCTCCTCATTGGCCTACCTCATCGCAGGCTATCCCCTCTTCAGTCTATCATGAATACTGCTGCCAGACTCATCCACCTTACTGTTCTGTATCTGCCACCCCTCTCTGCCAATCCCTCCACTGGCTTCCAGTTGCCCAACGGATAAAATTCAAAACACTAACAGTGACGTATAAAGCCGTTCATAACACTGTCCCAAATTACATCACCAACCTTGTCTCTAAATATCACCCAAACCGTACTCTCTGCTCCTCGCAAGACCTCCTACTCTCTAGCTCCCTTGTCTCCTGCTCCAATGCTCGTCTCCAGGGCTTCCCCCATCCTCTGGAACGCCCTACCCCAATCTATCAGACTATCGCCTACTCTGCTCACATTTAGGTGATCACTGAAAACCCATCTCTTCAGGGAAGCTAAACCGCTCTCTGCTAATACTGGAATCCTCTACTCTTCCAACCACTCCATCCCCCACAGTTATTACCTTTTTTAAACTGTTGTCGCTATATAAATCCTGTATAATAATAATAATATAGAAGAAACTGGATTGCCAAGACAGCCAGGCAGATAGTATCTTTAGGAGAACTCAGAAAAGGCATCCTCCAAGTTTCATAAAGCACATGTTTATAGAATTCTACTATAACCAAGATGTCAGCCTGCATTACCATATTCATATTACTACATCCTGGGGGAATGGGTGGTTGCAGGCAAATACAAAAGAAACTCCCTTAATTTGTACTATTTTTAGAATACATTTCTCCTGAAACTTATCACTATTACAATGGCAGATGCACACGTTTAACTTGCCTGGAATATCCTAGGTATCTCCTTGGCGTCTGCTCGATACACATCTGTCTGCGTTACCTGTCGTACATGGAACAGCTTGCTGCCAATGGGAAATTACACTGTGTTAGAAAGATTTACAGAGATACCATACTGCACATCCCAAACCAAAAACATTTCAATACACATGCTGAAACTATATATATGATGATATATTATCATTTGCTTTGCATTACACACTTGCACTGATGAGCTCTTATAATGTAGAAATCTTCGCATATAAGTTGGAATGAAGTTTCATCTATCTACAGAGTCCGTTTAATAAACAATAAAGCATGCAATGATTTCACCATTTGTTATTTGTAAAATGATGGAAAATGACATTTCTTTCTTGTCCACTGAAGGACACAGGACGTCTAAAACCTTCAGGTTAGACTGCTGTCTACAGGAGGATAGGACACTGGCATAAAAAAATAAAAACCTGTAGGCCAGTCCAGGATATAACCCCTTTTCTTTTTCTAGTTATCAAGATTCATCAACATCAACAACAGCTAGTGGTTCATTCCACGGGACATGTAACAATTCTGTAAAAATTGAACTGTATCGCAATCAGACTCCACTGATCTTGACAATTGAGGGAGGGATCCTGCAGTGACCTTTGGGCATTGGGCTCCATGTGGGCATGTTCCAGACTGGTTCTAGTTCGATTACCTTGGGAGTGTTCCTTAGGTCTAGAGCTGGTGGCACTGTCTTTGTGCTTGCCTTGTCTCTGAAGACTCGCTTAGTGAGTAGGCAATTCAGGAACTCCTTCACTTTTACTGATCATTGGGCACTAATATTCACCATTTCCTGTTGGCTGTGCCATGGAAGGGGTTTAACGCTTTAGGATAGCATGCCAATTTCATTCCATTGGGTGAACTGTTGCATGCACCCTTTTCAGCCAGAGCCCGAGGCATCCCCTTGCTGCTCCTGCACCACAGGGCCACATGGAACATCCATTTGGTCATGCTGCAAACCTACTTTGGCAACTTAATATGGATGTGAAGCTTCACCTTCTACCAGCTGTCCAGGTTTTGTAAGTGCATAAGGCCTTGTCTATTACAGTAAACCTGTACATTGCTTTACCTGGTAAAAAAAACCTGTACATTGCTTTACCTGGTAAAAAAAACCTGTACATTGCTGTACCTGGTAAAAAAAAACCTGTACATTGCTTACCACACTGCAGCAGCAGCATCTCTTATTCAAGACACAGGGGGAAGGGAATGGTGCGAGTAGCACTCTCACCCAGACTTCTCTTAAGCCTGGTACCCACGATGAGAATATCGAACGAATGATCGTCTTTTTTTTTTTTTTTTGCATGCTAGTTGCACATCAAAAATGAAGGTGTTACTAAAGTTACAAAAATTCTCCTACGACAGAATACAACTTTGGAAGTGATGTAATGTACTCTTTTGCGTGGTTTTGGTCTGTTTTTTTTTTTTTTTTCAGGCGCATACTGTGCCAATTAAACAAAATTATATGATCTGGGGGCAGGGGCCAGCTGAAATGAAAAGTAGAGCCATAATATCAATTCATTAGATGTAAATAGTTCAATAACTAATGAATGTAAGAAAAGAACGATTGCACACCTACAGGGTATAATGTATTTATAAAGCCGTGAATCTGACATTCAGTAAATATTTTCTGCAGATAAATCTTTCAGGTCCATTTAAATTACAGTTATCGATTTTCCTTCAGAGTATATTTGGTGAAAGTTACATTCACTGCTTTATAAATAGATCTCACAGTGCATAGTTACTGCATTGCCTCAAACCAGCTACCAATAATAATAGTGAATACTTACTCTATATCTAATACCATGTACGGGTTAGATTGCTCTTTGTCCTGCTCACTGTCATAAAACAGGATCTTCTTGCTGCTAACAACCACATACTGAAGGAAACAAAACAAACAGAAGGGAATACTTCAATGTGTATACCAAACATTGGCAAACAGGATATCAGTCTGGCTAGTTTAGAATGACTCATATTTGGTGGGAATAATTTTGTTCAATAATTAGTTTTGTTAGAAGACTGGCATACTTAGGAGCTTGTTCACATGTGTGTTGATTATGAGGAACAATGCAATGCTCATTAACGCTCCTATAGCATTTATGAAGTGTTTGTGTTGTGTTTATGAAGCATTGAAAATGCTTCAAGAATGCTTGATAAATGCCCATGAAAGTTCCTTTTCTAGAGGGAAGTGCTTAACCACTTGCCAGCCGGCCTATGGTCAAATAACGGTCGGGTGGCCCTCTCGTCCCTCCGGGAAGGCGTCATATGACGTTTGTGCATGCCTGCAGGGCTGCGCTGTGGCGACATCTGTCACCGGCCATGTACCTCGGACACGGCCGATGACAGATCTGTGTACCAACCCCATTGCCAGTACCATGTGACTTGCTGTTACCAATTACAGCAGGTCCCATGACAATTGTATACAATGGATGGCATCCATTGTATACAAGTGTGTCTGGCTGCGAATAGTCAGTGATCACATGCACAGGCTGGGCCAATTACAGCTCATCTGTGTCATGTGATTAGCTATGGCCAATCACAAAAAAAACCTAAATGAATCAGTTTCATTCAGTTAAATTGCTTGCTTATAGCAAAGAAATTCTTTGCTATAAGCAATCAAATTGTGCAAAAAAAAAAAATACTGATCACTTCCCCAAAGTAATACCAAAGTAGTACAATGTTACTATGGTAACATTATACTACTTTGGTCATAGTGCAATATGAAAAAAAATTTAATAACAAATAAAACAAAAATACAAAAATTAAAAAGGGATAATTTGGGGGATATGTGTACTGTTCTGACATTTTTTGGACCTCAAGAAATTAGATTGGCCATCAGTACTTCAGGATTCATCAATTTTCAGATATATCCCATAGTTTGTGAACTCTATATCTTTCCTACAGACTAAAAAATAAATACTGATTTGGGTTATTTTCACCAAAGAAATGTAGCAGAATACATCTTGGCCTAAATTTATGAAGAACAATTATTTATTTGCAAACTTTTATAACAAAAACAAAGAAACTTTTTTTTTTTTTTTCAAAATTTTCAGTCTTTTTTTTGTTAATTTAGCAAAAAATAAAAACCCCAGTGGTGATTAAATACCACCAAACGAAAGCTCTAGTTGTGTGAACAAAATGAGAACATTTTAGTTTGGGTACAGTGTTGTATGACCGCGCAATTGTCATTCAAAGTGTGAGAGTGCTGAAACCTGAAAATTGGCCTGGGCAGGAAGGGAATAAAAGTGCCCGGTATGGAAGTGGTTAAACAAGCGATGTAGAGGAAATGAGCTACTTTGAGATGTGGTTAGGTTGTAGTTAGAAACTTTGTGAAATCTACGCAAGGTGGATTTGTATACTTTGATCTCTGACACCTGGCTTGGTCCAGCTCAGCTTTCTGAAACAAAGTCTTTGCTGCTGGTAATAATGCTCAATGCATCTGCTCCTACCTGGCACTGTAGTATTGCTGGCTGGCTGCTGCTTTTCCCTGCACACGGAAGCAAAAGGTGTTACCACACAGTTGCTCAGTACAAGCAGGAATTGACTGGAACTGCTTTGTCCTAGTTCTCTATTTCCCAGTGCATTCTGGGTTACAGAAGCCTCCACTGTCTCTCCCTGAGTGCCCATCACTTTATAGGTGCTTCACTAACATGCCATAAATGCTGTTAATATGTGATTACAGAACATTACCATTGAAATCAGTGGAAGCGGTTGACAAGTATCAATGCCTCATGAAAATAAGATTCTGCTTAATTTTAAACACACAACAGAACACAACGTTAGGGCTCCTGTGTGAACAGCACTTTGGGGTACCATTGTAATATTCATGACAGGTGTTGACAGACTGTTACGAGGCTTCAGAAATGCCAAATAAATGCTGCATAAACACAGGGTACTGACACACCCCATTCTGTGAACAAGCTGGCAGAAAACATCTTGAACTGGGTGACCTGTATCCTAATGCCTTACACCATAGTCATAGAAAGACAGTCAGAAAGCTACTCTTCATGTAATGCAAACCTACCTTTTTAATCCATCCAAATTTTTTGGTATTGCGCACAGGAAGTGACAACCATCCTTCCAATCTGGATTCTGCAAAGATCCAATAAAACACGTTATTAACAAAAACATAGCTAGTGACTACAGAGGGAAAAAATGACATTAACAAACCAGACATATATCTGAGCAGCACACACTTCAAGCCACGAGCATTTCAGCAAAGCATTCCTAAAGTGAGGCTGCGGCCCAGAGCTAATACCAGTGCTCTTTATTGTTGTCAACCCATGTACTTTAATTAGACTGACACTATACGAGTACGTGACCTGAGTGTTAAAAGCATCACTGAGGCCCATACAGCCGTCAGAGATATGAACTTATCACAGGCAGTCGGGATGCAATCACAGAGTCCTTCTCTCAGATTTCAGTCCGTGACAAGCTGATACTCCATACAGTTTAAAGCACAGATCAGCACAGCATCCACAGCGTGAGAAAAGTTGGTGGCTTGGGAATGCAATCTTGTATAGTATTTGACATGGTAACATGACAACAAGACAATGTATCTGCTTTACTAAAGAAGTTGAGAACATTCACACATAAAAAGTATGAAGAGTCACATCAAATGTCCAATCACGTGCAGATGAAATAAACAAGAATTTCCTTTTCACATGATTGGATAATTGAAGCCAATGTTCACTCTTTTGTATGTGACAATTTTCAACTTTTCGCAAGTCAGCTTCATCACCTTACAAATCTTGTCACTATGGACATGGGACCTCAATAACTAAAGTGTCCATTATGTATTGATATGTAGATTATACATAAAATATGTGAAGGGCCTTATGTATTGAGGTGTTCTTACTAAGAACTGGAGCAATGTCTCGGCCACCAATCAGCATCAGTCCTGTCTTAAAAGTCTAAATGTGATTAGGGAAAGAACGCTCGTATTTACCATGAACATGCTGTTACCTAGCATATTGTTTTTCTTCTTTATTATAATTATTTTATAGGGTGTAATGTTATTCACTCACATACTGTATCATTCATTTGTATTTTGCATAGTTTTACTAGCCCCTACATGAATATTTTGTCTTTATTGTACTCTGTGGATATAAACGGATGATTATCTGTTTACATCGGTTTGCCCTTAAGAGTACATTGCTGTCCATTTTCAACAGATTGATGAAAAACAGACAAACAGAATGTCTGAGTAAAAGGGGCATTGGGCCTCATTCACACAGTAAATTATGGCCGTACATCACCAAGAATCAAAGCATTTCTGCAGCCAGTATCAAAGATGCTTGCCTTGTAACCACTAAATATGTTATATATGAATAGCTGCAATGCCCGTCAGCCTATCGTTGATTTGGAATGGCTTCCTGGCCACAGCTGTTGACATATAACTGCGTATTAAGTGGTTTAACGCAATAAGGGACAGAGGAGCGCCCCTGTATGAGACAGTTTGCATCAAGGACCGCTCATCTGTCCCTAACCACATGGAACTGCTCAATGTGCGGTTACATGCAAACAGCCGCAATGCATGTCAATAATTCGTTAAAGCTTCTTGGCTGCAGTTGACGGCGAACACCTGTGTTATCAGCCAGAAATGCACTAATTCTTGGCGCTACAAGCCCTAATTGGCCATGAGAATAAGATCTTAAAGTAGAACTAAACCTAATTTAAAAAAAATGTGAGCAGGCAGTTCTTTATTGCAGAAAAGACATGCTGTCTTGTCTGAGTAATCTTGATGAAAACAGCAACAGGAGGATTTCTGAGTATGTCTGCAAACCAACCATAGTATATAAATGTAGGCTGGTCCCTGACATCTCTGACTTATGTAAGTATTGATTTTTAGGTGGCGAGTGGGCTCTTGTAGAGCTGGTCACAATACATTTTCTTTCACACCATTCATTAATTTGTACACAACACAGAAAAAGAGAAAATGAGTTGCATGTTCCATCATGTTACTCAAACTCAAAACTGCACAAATACAGCAGTTAGCCGTACCAAAGAAATATTGAGATAGTAACAAGATATGTCAGACTCACAGGGTGGCTATAGGAGGTTCCAGGAAAAACTGGTTTATACCTTACCTAAAATATCCTTCAACAAAAATGAAACATGGAATCTGGGAGTGATTGAAACTGGCAACATATCACACTTAACATAGCTGAAAGGATTCCTCTTTCAGAATGAAAAGTGCAACCAGAAAGGACCCACAGAGTCAAATGTCCAATAGATTTCCACATCCATTCTAAGGTGAATTTCCTCAATAAAAATGTTTTAAATAAAACACAGCAGCCAATCAGATTCTGACAGATGACAACTAATGATGGTAATCTGATCAGCAGCTGTGGGAAAAACCCTTCCTAGAGCATTGCAACTCTAGCTCTGGTTTTATTCACTTTTTTTTTTTTTTTTTTTTTTAGCAGATTCTGACTTAATTCTCTGCCAAGTCTCTCCTGTACATACTGGTTTTCATACCTACCAGTTTAATCATGACCATTTACATCCACTTTAACTGTGTAGACATGCACAGTTTATGCATCCTTCAACCACATCACAAAACAAACATTTCCCAGCACACTTACCAGTCATCCTGCAAACAAACCAAATTGACCCTGTGACAATTCACATTAAAGTGTTACTAAACCCAGGACCCTGTATTCACTATATCTGGTCTTCCACAGTACAGAGAACACGGAAATGCAATTATTTTAATAAATATAAACTGCTAAAAACCTTTTCTCATCAGCAGTATATAGCAGTCTTGTGACTTCTATCATTGTTCAGCTGAGCACTAGTTAAATCTTGCAGGAGTTTTCATTCTCCCTTGACTGTAATATGAGGCTGCATGACCCTTGTTCCCTCTGTCTGGACAGTGCTGATTGGCCCTGTGCTGATCACAAGCACCCTCCCAAAAAAACCAAAACACCTTTCTTCTAGCAATACACATCAAACTAAGCATGTACAGAGTGTCTCCTAGGTTTCTGTACTATCAGCAGATGGATTGGGGACTGTGGAAGGGGAGGATCAGAGAAGACAGAATCAAACAGCCTTTTTACACAATGCAGAGGATTAACCCCTTAGATTCCACAGTGGGTATAACAAGCATGATTTACTGCATATACAGACTGATTTTACTGTTGTGAGTTTAGTAACACTTTAAAAGCAGAGGGTTTCATTGTACACATTTAAACATATTCAATATATGGAAGTCGCAGTGACCATGTCAAGGCTCCTCTGTATACTGTTGTTCTAACTCTATATTTTTGAAAAGTCTCCAATCAGGAGCATATATAGCAGTGGATAAATTAAGGGCAGGTCTGCCTTGAGGGAACCTACTCCTTAAAGGCAGTGGAACAGACTGGATATCCAGTAATGGAAGCTGAAGGCCATCCAATGTGCCCCCATGCCAAATCAGTGAACAAGCTATAAAAAAAGATGGCAACCACTGCAATTTCTAACTATCCTTCAACCACATGCAGTGCCAACAGCTATTTTGTGTAGTACAATTCTGTTCATGGTAACGAGGCCTACAAAACAGCTTACAACATGGAACACTCATGCGGCTTTGTCTGGGAATTTGACAATGCTTATTGAGTGATCCTGACCATGAGAATGGTTGCCAACTCTTGATAGGCTGTCAGGTACATTTTAATTTGTAAAAGGGTTCCAGCCACTGTAGAAAATACATGCAGTCAGTATTCATGACATGCTGATTCCACACCAGCAAATGCAAGGAAAAAGTGTTAGATCTGGAACAACGACAAAAAAGTTAGGGACCACACAGTGCAGCAGAGTGTTAGGGGGCCACAAGGTGCAGCAGGGTGTTGCACAGCGATGTCACCTTCATTGTCATCGCTATCAGGATCTGAAGGGGCTTGTGCACAAGGTATGGGCTCCTCCTCTGAGTCGCAATCAGAATCAGAGTTGAAAAGCAAGCGAGAACGGGAGGGCCTAGTGCCAATGCGGACAGAGGTAGAGGAACGTTGGTAGGTGAATGACATGGACTCCGTAGTACGGGACTGAGTGATGTGCACTGAGAAGCCGGCACAGAACCGGAGGAAGAAGTGCAGAAAAGTTAAAAATAAAAGAAGAAAAGAAAGGGAGGAGAAAAAGTTACATCAAACATGTCATAATTACAGGTGAGCATCTCAACATTTCTGGCAATCAGAGTCCTGGAAGCCTTTCTAACGCTAACTTTTGACTTCATTATTACGCACAGATTTCAATAACGAAGAAGCACTAAAATGGGTATGAAAAATATATAGCAGCCACTAATAAAAGTCAGGAACAGAAATCTTATACAAAGTAACATCTAATGGAGGCCACTATTGTCTGCATGCAAGTTCTAGCAGAGTAACCTTGTTTGCAATGAAACTCAACAGGATCCATTGCTACTAAATTATGTGTGGCCTTGAAGACAAAATGGTAGCCCCGATTTGAGGTTTCTCAAACAGGTATTGTGCTGTGTGATATGCCAACAAATGTTTTGACCACACTGATGATATGGCATTGTAAAAAGATAGCCATTTTTAATGTGTATTAAACTACATTGATGTACAATTGGATCACTGTGGAACTCCTTACCAAAGAGAAGATCTTCTTCTCACAGTACAGACTGGTTTATTATTGCAGATGCTTTGTCAAATTATATTTTTAATACTTAAACCACTTTCAGCATCATTTACAGTTTGTACTACAATGGGTTCTATCAGAATTGGTAGCTCCTAATCTTTAGAATGCATGCGCACAACACACCCTGCTTGGAAAGCACCAGACTATGCTATTTCTTTATCACAAACGTTTTAAAGGGTTTAAAGAAAATCTTTAGGTTCAGTCTAACTAAAAGTGACATTATATTTATAGGTAGAGCCAGATCATGAGATCTTATGTACCTTTAATACTCCCAACAGTAAGATCTCCCTGCCATAATTCTTGACCCTGTTCCTGTCCACGTGGGAGATTAAGGGTTTCCATGCAACTTTGTGTGTTGGACCCCTCATACTGGTCACAGCAGGCGTGAAAACCCAGGAACTCATTTTACCAACAGAGTTCACAAGAGATATATGAAAATGAACGGTGTTTTAAATCTCTAGCATCTGCCAAAAACTGAAATATAGTTTTAGGGTGGAATGTAATATTTGTAATTTAAAAGCTCAAAGTGGATCTTATCACTGTCTTATCACTAAAGTGGGCAGAGCCTTACCTGGGAAGCCATCATCATTTTCAGCATCACCATGCCCGCTGCCAATACTTGTGCTGTCCATACCAATGTGGATTGACTGCAACTGTGACCGAAGTTGCTCAATGTCGCTGTCTTTGCTGTCCAGCGCCATCTGCAGCTCAATGCGAACTTGGCTCTCATCTGCTATTTGCTGCAGAAATAAAAAAGTAATACAAGACAGGCACTGTTAAGAAATTAAAAGTGACTAGTAAATTTGTATTGCATTCGTAATATGGAATCCAACTGGCTACCAATCAAGTCCAGCTGTCTTTAAGCTAAGGAAACTCATAGAAATTACAGCCTGGACCTAACCTTTAATGGTCTTGTCTTTCCCTGCTGAAAAATGGAAACACATGCACCTTGTCCCCTAAATTATTATTGAATGGCTCCCTAAATCTGCTACTTTCTTCCATATTCAGAAGTATATCCTGCACCTATTCAAGAAGCATTTTCTCTCCTCTGTATTTTCAAGAAAATGCTAGTTACCTAGCTATAATGCTGAGACTACTTTCTAAATCACTGACTGAAAAAAGTATAGCTATATGGAATTCTGATTATTTACTCTCATTTGTTACACATTCTCTCCAGGTCAGTGACTTAGCAGTGTTGAAGCCTGACAGGTACCATTTTCAGTAGGAGGCCAGCAACAGCAACTTTTATATTTCTCCCACGACATGTGCACTTTCAGGAGCTACAAATCTTACCTGCACCCCTGCTGAAAAACTTTAGAATCGCAATTCAAAACTGTAATGGTTCTAAGTGAATTATAACTTTATTGAAAATGGTTGGATTTTAGGATGATGGTGCCAAAGAAGCTTCAAGTTGGTGAGGTTATAGTCTATAGATTCATATTTTTCCACAAAAAAAATTCCTTCTATTAGAGGGAAACATTCAGGGCAAAGCGGAGGCAGCTTTATATTCTGCACTATGCAGGACTGAGTTGCCAAATTGACAGCTCGGTAATGCGGATTACATTGAGATCATGCCTCTTCTCCTGTAACCAGCAGCATTCTGCTGTCTATTTGAGAAGTGTCCACTCTGTATAAGGAGCACAGTTACCTGCCATCTTAGAGCCGTTAACTATACAGGAAGAGTTGTATTCTCCCTCTGTAATCTGCAGGAATGACCTATCAGTTTGTTAGCTTGGGTCCTACTGTGCATTATTTAATACGCCGCAACTATTGTAGCTTTCAGTCATGAATTACTGCTATGTTAAGACAAAAACAAAAAAGGAAAAAAAAAACATTTAAACCCCAATTAGTTTGTTAATGCATTCATTTCTTTCCTCAGTATTTTTTTTCCAAGTTATTTGTATGTTAATGTTTTACATTTGTGTACATTGATATTTTTAGCGCCAAAAGTAAAAAAAGGGACAAATCACAGAAGAAAATTTGTAAATAATAAAACTACACAATCCATTATATGATGTCAACTACAAATAGCATGATGCCTTACCGCCTGCATCTCATTCATCTCCTTCTGATACTTGATGACAAGGTGACTGAGTTTTTCCCTTTCAGATTTCAGTTCCAGCTGCAGCTTCCTATTCTCCTTCTCCTTTCTACGAACGTCTGTGTCAGCTCCGCCTTTGGTGGGAATTTTCCTGTTCATGATCTCAGCCAGTTTGTTCACAGCCTGCCGAAAAGTGTGAAGCTGACAGTCAGGGAAGCATAAATCGCAGTTTTGTTACAAAATTCTAAATCCTTTCACTTTTAAAGCCAAGTCACAAGAGATCACTGGAAGCCAAAAGAATTTTATTGAACCTTAAGCCTCTTCCACCAGCTGGATAGACCCAGCATTTCAATATAAGACACTGAAAAACTGGCATAATACCTGAGTTTTTAGAGTCCGCTCAGTCAACAGCTGCTTCTCGTATTGTAATTTAATGACCATGACGCTGCTTTCTTCCTCTTTCAGATTTTGAATCTCTGTACAAGGACAACAAGTCACAATATTAGAAAAGAAGAAATAATTACATTTTATTCATGTTTAATATACTCTACCTCCATTATGGAACGAGACTAGATTAATGTGCCGGTCATTTTAGCAGATTACATTTTTATAAAAAATGAAGGTTATTGTATATTTTGGAAAACAGACACACAGTTAGTTTTGGATAGAGTGGAGCTGGATTAGAACGCCTGTCAGGTTTTTATTACTATCTGTGCCCCCATTATTCACCTTTTCCATCTGTCCTGTATATCAAGGAAAGTTTACATAAAAGAAAATCCCAAATTTTGGATGGTCTTCAGAACAGTAAGAGAGAGAATCTTTCAATTGGGACACTGGTTCTATTGACCGGGAGGGGGGCAATAGATTCCCTTAATTTGCAGGGATTTCCTCTCACTTCCTGTCTTAGCTATGGGACAGAAAGTGAAGGGAAATCTCAATGGGACATAGATGGCACAAAAAAAAAAAAAAAAAATCTAGCAGGGGTTGTAACCCCTCCCCCCCCCCCCCCTTACTCTATCCAAAATCAAAGAAATAGTTCTGCCTTCAGTTCTACTTGAAGAATCCAAAGAGACTGTAATAAACAGTTAAGGTAGAAGTGATTCCTTCTTAAGAGAAGTTCATCACCTTTGAACACTAGATAAAGATGAGGACTCATGTAGTAAGATAGAGGTATGGGGGGGGCCATGAATACCCCTGTACTGTTTAATTAAGATGTCTCATGATTTAAACTCAAAGTATTGCCATGGCAAGTTGCATCACAACCTGCAAAAAAGAACTGCTCCTTGGTGATACAAAATAGTGATAGCACAATCCACCATGAAGACTCAAAGTACTGAACTCAGACAGCTGGGCAACTAACATTTTCAGGATAAGCAGCCTCGCTGGTTCCCTTTAAAGACTAGATATTAAGCAAACCGAGTGTCAGAAATGGGTAGTCAGAGAGAGGATTTCAGTCATCTACAACACTTACGTTCTTGGGTCTCCTTAAATTTATTGTTCAGCTCCTCCTTCTCGTTAGCCAGGTTGGCCACATCAGTAGTTAGTGTCTTGTTTGCATCTTCAAGCTGTGGTAAGAAAATAAGTAATCATTCAAACGTAGTCAAATGGGAAACCTTCCACATAAAGCCCTTGAATGTGTGTATGTCATCTGTGAATTCTGTAGACTGACCTAGACTATTATCATAAACTATAACTTTAGGTCATGTGTCCAGTTATATGAGCAGAACTTAGCAAACAGCTATGTCAACCAGTGGCAGCAGACTGTGCAGGTTTCAATTAAAAGGTTAAAAGACCAATGCATACATAGTTACATAGTAAGTCTGGTTGAAAAAATACATTTTTCAGTTCAACCAATGCTTAATACTTGATATTTTATTTTATATGAATGTGGTTAAGATACAACATCTATTTTTTGGGGTCCCAGTGATCAGATCACTGCCCTTCAGTTCCCAGTCTTTATAAGGGGGTCACACAACCACCATGTTTCCTTTAAACTGTGAAAAATGCAGAATAGGAAGAAAGATTTCCTTTTTTAAGAAGCCAGCAGCTTACTAAGCACACATGCAAAAACCCAGAACTGGCATATCAGAACCAGAACTGATGGAGCTGCCCAACTTAAATTTGGCAAACACACTGTATATGTTATTGTTATGGCAGTAGCCAGAAAATGTCTCAGAATTGTTCTTCTATATTATTGGCAGACCCTCATTTGGGAAGCTGCACTTTTAACAAAATCCAAATTAAAAATGAAATGATTGCATACACACAACACATTAGCCCAGGTCCAAGTACGTACAGAGCTTATAGTAGCATATTTCTCAGCGAGCTCCTGTTTGTGGCGAGCCATCATTTCTTTTATCTCCAGCTCTTTCATGATCTTCTCCTTCTCCAGGTCAGAGTATTGCTCCTCAGCAATGGAACGTGCCAACTGCTCAGAGTCCGCCTTGGTCAGAGTGATCTCCAGCTGAGCTGCCAGTGAATCTCTGAAAAGTAAAACAGACCTTTAGCCCCAATTCACACCTGTGCAACCCAACTTGAACACAATGTGTCTTTTGTTTTTTGGTGCATGTCGCACGGCAGCATTGACAGGTATGTTGCCTGACTGTACTGTAAGCTTTCATGTAGGGAACAAAACTCAAGCAAGTGAAGTCAGGACACCTAATCTGTATAGTTGTTTAAGGACAGTGACGTAACACATGGTAGGAAGTAAGAGAACAGGTGTAGACCAAGACATGAAGGCACAGGCCTGGTGAGGGGACACACTGGACACCTTGGCTGCCATTATGCTATATGCTGGGTGTCCAGTGTGCCCCTGTGCCTTTAAAGGAGGGGTGGGCTCCCTCAGACTCACCTTCCCGCAGTCTATCCATTATGATACACGTGCTCTTACAATGAAGGCTCTCAAAATTATAGAGTTAGGAACTGCAGAATAAAGGGGTGCCATGTAGAGGCTCTACAGCTTACGCATGTATTTGCAAATTAAACCAGTTTTTAATGCAAACGGTTAGACAGGACAATTCGGTTGGTAGCAAGCTGGTCAGTAAGTTAAGCTGGGAATTTTTCTTTTTATTGTTTGACATGTGTCGCCCCTTCCATGTGCTCCTTGCTGTGAAGGCCAGTTATAGATTAGGGCAGTAGCCGTTTGTGCTAGGAAAAAAAAAAAAAACAACCTGGCAGAGGTTCTGATCTCAGTTTTTTTTTTTTTGTTTTGTTGCTGTCCCTGTCCACACTAGACATCCTTGTCTCTAGGCATGGGCGTAGGAAAAATCTAACAAATAGGGACTCTGTCAACAACGAAAATCAGACAGAGGTCTTAACTGTTTCCCACTCCACCAGAAAAAAAAAAAAATGTGTGGAACTGGATTTTAACCACTTCCATACCGGGCACTTTTACCCCCTTCCTGCCCAGGCCATTTTTCAGGTTTCAGCGCTCTCACATTTTGAATGACAATTGCGCGGTCATACAACATTGTACCCAAACTAAAATTTTATCCTTTTCTTCAAACAACTAGAGCTTTCTTTTGGTGGTATTTAATCATTGCTGGGGTTTTTATTTTTTGCTAAATTAAGAAAAGACCGAAAATATTGAAAGAAAAACACGTTTTTCTTTATTTCTGTTATAAAAGTTTGCAAATAAATAATTGTTCTTCATACATTTAGGCCAAGACGTATTCTGCTACATGTCTTTGGTGAAAATAACCCAAATTAGGATGTATTTTTTAGTTTGTAGGAAAGTTATAGAGTTCACAAACTATGGTATAGATCTGAATATTGATCAATCCTGAAGTACTGACAGCCAATCTAATTTCTTGAGGTCCAAGAATATCAGAACAGTACAGATATCCCCAAAATGACCCCTTTTTGCAAAGTAGACAGTCTGGCGTACTTCATAAGAGGAATGGCGAGTTTTTAAAGTTGTATTTTTTTTGTCATAATTTTTCGGAAAATGAAAAAATTAAAAAAAATTATTTTCACTATTTTTTTTTTTACATACGGTCATCGGTGCAGTACAGCATTATCATATAACTGGCATGGCGGTTATCAGGGACACTGACTGGTGACAGTATGAAAAAAAAAAATTATATATATATATTTTTTTAATATATTTTTAATTTTTTGTTACTTTTTTTTCTTTTTTTTTTTTAAGATTTATTTTTCATATTTCACTATGACCAAAGTAGTACAATGTTACCATAGTAACATTGTACTACTTTGGAGAAGTGATCAGTATTTTTTTTCTTTTTACACAATTTGCTTATAGCAAAGAATTACTTTGCTATAAGCAAGCATTTACCTGAATGACATCGATTCATTCAGGGTTTTTTTTTTTTTTTTTTTTTTGTGCTTAGCTGTGATTTGGCCACAGCTAATCACAAGACGTGCATGTGATCGCTGTGACCATTCACAGCTAGACACTAGTATACAATGGATGGCATGAATGAAGCCATCTATTGTATACAACTGTCGTGACCTGCTGTGATTGGTCACAGCAGGTCACATGGTACCGGCAATGGGGGCCGGTACTCAGATCTGTCATCGGCCGTGTCCGAGGTACAAACTGCGCATGCCCGGGAGTACGCCATATGGCGTCCACCCGGAAATCTAAAGCATTTTTCCGGCCGCCAAACGGCTATTAGCCGGGCGGCTAATGGTTAAGAAAACTACAGAATTAAATGATTGGGAAAGGAACAGCAGATTTTAGAAACACAATGAATAAACTGCACAGTAAATATGGACTACTGCATGGCAGAAAGAATATAACAACATTCACATACTGAAACCCTGCAATCTGCTGTCAACAGACATTCAGCACAGGCATCTTACATCAGCACTGATCAGATATCTCACCTCTCATCCTGGAGCTCCTGCACCTTCTGCTGCATGTCCTTACACAGCTTAACCTTTTCTTCACACTCCTCCTTTAATTCCCGCACCTGCGTCTTGTACAGGGTCTTTAAAGGGGAAAAATGGAAAAATACCATTGTTAGCCTAAAATATCCATTCAAACACATCAATTATGCACTTTATGATGTGCTTAGATAGTTTACATATCTAATCAGGGCTTTAAAAATAGGTGCTCAAGCAGTATTATATTTTGGGGCCCTAGGTGGTAGTGTAACATTTTATGAGACACCAATAGGCCTTGAAGTTATTTCATCATCACTTTCAATCAGGTTCAGACCTTCAAAGCAGACCTGACCAGCTCACAAGAACACATTAATGCATAATGATACATACTACTGTAGTTTGATCCTAAAATTGTTTGTTCCTTCAACAGAATCATATCAAATTAATATAACTGTGTAGCCCACAAATGTCGTGCTGGGCAACTCCTGGGGTCTCAACCTATAGGTTGATAAACTGGCTTATTAAAACTGTCCAGGAATCTGCTGACGGATTTTCCCACTCTCTACTATAAAATATTGTTGTCATCCATCCCTTGCTGAAATCTTCATAACTCATTGTATGGCTTGATGGTGTAGAATCTGTAGGTTGTGTTATCTAGACTGCATAAAAACAAATCTAGAAGAGCATCTGTAAATGCTACTAAATTATTTAGACCAGTTTCAATTAACACCTTTTTGTAAATCCTGAATTCCATTTAATGGGGTAGTAAAGTACACTTTTTTACTTGAACCTACAGGTAAGCTTAAAAAAGGCTTACCCTTAGGTACACTGAATGCCCCGTAAGCTTGCACCGTTTAGGAGATACTCACAGTTGCTGCAGTCAATGCAGCGATCGTGACTCACAAGGACATTACTGCGGTCCAGCCATTCAAATGGCTGGAGTGCACGGGTCTGGAAGGAAGAATGGGCAAAGATGAGAGCACCTGCACCAATTACAGCGAGTCACTGGGGGGTTCCAATTAAAAGGTATGCTTTTCATGATGTGCAAGTATTGTTTTTTTTTCCTTTTTTTTGTGTAGAGTTTGCTACTGTTTTAAGGCAGAAGCTGACAAGGAAGCCTTTGTTAATATTGTTTGCCTTGGCCTCTATACACCTGTGTAAAGCTGTATTTTCAACTCTCACAGTACATATAATCTTCTTGGAAAGCTTTCATATAATAGCTCCATAGAAGCTTTGCCATCATAGACCAAGGAAGACATGCTCATTCACTGATCAATCATTCAGAATACAGTAGGTGCATTTTGCCTGCCCATGACTGCCAAGATGTTGGACATATTAGCGAAAGATGTAGCTTGAAAACAACTAGACTGTAATATACCTTCAAGTATCCCAACGATAAAAAGAATTTGGTTGGTTTCACAAAAACAGAATACTTACAGAGAAATATTGCTCCGCCTCTAGCTGGTCTTGGAGTTCCTTCATTTGGCCGTCTGCATCTTGACGTTCTCTATACAAAACATAAGTACATTTTATAAAAGGCGCCACTCTCCATCTACACAAATACAATTGAATGTCTTCTGCTGTCTTGAGGCTTGCTACTTCTATGCTATCCTCCATTCCTAAGGAGACACATGACTACAAGTCCTCTCTGACTCCAAACTAATTGTTCTGTGACATGTGACATTACAATTTCAGAAAATATGGAAATTTGTGCATCAAGCTGTGGATATGCGGGCAGATCTTTATCAGAAATCATCATAAACAGTATTGGAACTGCCATATTCAACAATATCACAGACATACTGAAAAGTCCTGAATATCAATTGTTAAATGTATCACATATTGCTACTTCATCAAATCTTTAAGGAATTGTTGCCACAAAATAAAAATTTGCAGATTCATAAAGGAGTGAATGTTCAGCAATTAATCGCTTTCTTCATTAGCATCTGCAGAAGAGAGAATAATCACTAATATTACACTGTCGCTTTGCTTGATCACCAGAAATTGAATTCTCAATTTAATGACTGACCTCTTGTTGAAAATGAAAATTAATGTGATAAGATTATTCAGTCTAAAAAATTTTAGAAGCACAAGTTAGTGACTAAATTTCCCGTATAGCCATAGCCTAAAGACTCGTAAACACAACTAGAATATCGGATGAAAAATACACCTTTGGAGCAATCATCCAATAGTCTGATCATAAGTACACAGCTTTCAAGAGCCGATCATGACAGTTCACGCAAAATTATCCAAAGAGACCAGCATGAAAATTTTTCTTGTATGATACCAGAACAAACAATTTTCTTATAATCAGTAAAGTATTCATCCAAAAAAAAAAATCGAGTGACCACGGATGCTCAGAAGCAAAATAATACATCACTTTCAAAGTTGTATTCCGTTGTACAAGAATTTTCATAACTTTAATAACCTCTTCATTTTTGATATGAGGCTAGAATGCAAAAAAAAACGGACGATCGTTTGTCCGATTTTCTCATTGTGTGTACTAGACATAAGACAATTTTTAATATCCTCAAATTTGTACAATATTATGGCTTTACAGCCTTCCATTTCTTGATTACTATCTTACTCACATCTTTATTGCTTCTGGGATGGCCAATACATCTTTTCAGTCAGATACTGCTTCCTGAGAAGTCTGATATACAATCTTTTAGCCAACTGTTTAAATTGAACTGATTATAGCTCCTAACCTTCAAAACCAAGAGCATATCCATGTAGTAGACGTAATCAGCTCATCATGGGTCCATTTGTTTGCAAACTGCAATTAGGGAGTACAGAGATCTAGCATCAAGCATAATGAGCTAATTTTGTCTTTCTGAAGAAATTGAAAGTTCCCTTGCTACTTTCCTCTCTTGTCTCCCCCCCTCCTCCTAAGTTCAGTGTCTCGGGCCATCAGTAAAGCTGGGTATACATGTAGATAGGTATAAAATGCAATGTTGGTGCAGGGATCGCTCCTGCTGTTCTCTTATTTTCAACAGGGGGATCCTCAGTGCTTACAGCCATTGACGCTGGCACACATGTACGGAAATTTCCTGATGAATCGGCCGAATTTCAGTATGTGCATTCTGGGTCTTAAGAGGCTGAGGTGTGCTTTATCAGCAAAATATGAGATATGAGACAACAGCTTCAAGGCCAGCACATAGCATGGTTTCTGACCATTCTTTGTACTACATCCACTGTAACTATGTGACAGAGAATTACCTGACTGGTAGGCAGGGAATCCAGATGTCACATTCTTAAGATTTTGTCTATGTGGGCTGTGACTGACTTTTTTCAGCCGCTTCTCTCTTTTAGGTAATCCTCAAGGTAGTGGCATCCACAAAGTAGAAACGAAGGTTCCCCACACTGGCCGGAGGCACCAAGTTTACTTTGCAACATAACATTAGTCGTAAAAACTACCGTATTTTTTGCTCCATAAGACGCACTTTTTTCCGCCCAAAAAAATGGGGGGAAACATCTGTGCGTCTTATGGAGCGGCCAGCCGGTATTCCCTCCGTCGCCGCCATGTTAGAATACCGGGCCGGCCGCTCAGCTCTTCTGTGCAGGGGAACCTGCTCCTTGGTTCTACCTATTTCTCAGTCCAGCGGTGTCCTCATGACCTCATCATCTTTAGTGTGGGCACCCAGCTGTGACAGCTTGCAGCTTCACAGCCGAATGCCCACTGCGCATGCGCAAGAAGTGCTGCGCTATGTGAATGGCCCTGTAGTCTTCTGGGACTTGTCACGTGTCCAGAAGACTACGGGGAGAGAGGCAATCGCAGCAAAAGTGGGATCAGGTACCTATCAAATTTGGGTACCCCACCGCTTCCCAAAGGTCTGCAGTCTCTGGTCAATTCCTGTACTATGCCCGCAGGTTTTGGTCATCTCCTGTACTATGTCCGCAGTCTCTGGTCATCTCCTGTACTACGTCCGCAGTCTCTGGTCATCTCCTGTACTACGTCCGCAGTCTTTGGTCATCTCCTGTACTACCCGCAGTCTCTGGTCATCTCCTGTACTACGTCCGCAGTCTCTGGTCATCTCCTGTACTACGTCCGCAGTCTCTGGTCATCTCCTGTACTACGTCCGCAGTCTCTGGTCATCTCCTGTACTACGTCCGCAGTCTCTGGTCATCTCCTGTACTACGTCCGCAGTCTTTGGTCATCTCCTGTACTACACCCGCAGTCTCTGGTCATCTCCTGTACTACGTCCGCAGTCTCTGGTCATCTCCTGTACTACGTCCGCAGTCTCTGGTCATCTCCTGTACTACGTCCGCAGTCTCTGGTCATCTCCTGTACTACGTCCGCAATCTTTGGTCATCTCCTGTACTACGTCCGCAGTCTTTGGTCATTTCCTGTACTGCGTCCGCAGTCTTTGGTCATCTCCTGTACTACACCCGCAGTCTCTGGTCATCTCCTGTAGTATGTCCGCAGTCTCTGGTCATCTCCTGTACTATGTCTGCAGTCTCTGGTCATCTCCTGTACTATGTCTGCAGTCTCTGGTCATCTCCTGTACTATGTCTGCAGTCTCTGGTTATCTCCTGTACTATGTACGCAGTCTTTGGTCATCTCCTGTACTGTGTCCGCAATCTCTGGTCATCTCCTGTAGTACATCCGCAGTCTCTGGTCATTTCCTGTACTATGTCTGCAGTCTCTGGTCATCTCCTGTAGTACATCCGCAGTCTCTGGTCATTTCCTGTACTATGTCTGAAGTCCATTGGTTCAGAATATTCTTTTTCTTGTTTTCCTCCTCTAAAACCTAGGTGTGTCTTATGGAGAGCGAAAAATACGGTATTTATGGCTGACACATATGTGATTTAATACGCAATTAAATTGTGACATTTTTTAAATCACAAGAAATCAATTACTTAATACTATTGCGGTAAATCTCCCTGCCAAAGGTCTATTAAGATGTATGTGATAAGATACAAGTGCCTGATTCCAGAATATTTATTGGACATAAATCACCTGGGTAGCCCCAGCCTAGATTGGTTTGTTAATATGCCAGCAAATGCTTCATAGCAAATAATCACAGTTGGGCCTTCTGTACAATAAGCAGAGCAATCATGTGTAATGAACAACTGCCAAAGCACCTATTTATGTAAAAAAGGTTTTACTCAAGCTTAACGTTAAGAGAAAAAGGTACAGAAAACTCCTATGCTGCTTCCTTCTAGAAGATCTTTTGAGAGTCCTAGGAGTTTCAGCCTACCCCACCATATTGTCTAGGTCCTAGGAGATCACCGTCACTTACTTGCGCAGCTCAGAGTTCTGTTTTTCAAGGCTCGCTCTGATCTCCGTCAGGTGGTTGATCTCTTGCTTAAGCTGTTTCTCTGACATCTTAAGGCTGTTCACCTGCTGCAGCTGCATCTTCAAGTCATTTTGAGTCAAGCTCCGCTTCTGCGTCTCCTGCTCAGTTTTTAATGTTAGGTTTTTAACCTAAGGAGGAGGGGAGAATAAAAATAATTAAACACATTTAGAATTATGCACACAATATACCCAGTGAGAGGTAATTCACTATAAGCTTGAAAAAACATACAGACTTGAAAATGGACATGGTCATTAATTCTTCTCTACTTTAATCTTCAAGAAATAACCTTTTACTAAATTGTCATTTTAATCAACACTTCAGCCAAAATTAAGCCTGTGTTATATTGCACACGTAACTCATTTTTAGCTTTACTACTTACATCCTCAGTGAGTTTGTCCTTGAGGGTCTCCAGCTCATTGATCTTCTGTTTGGCTTGTTTTAGGTCACAGTCCAGCATTGAGCACTGCTTCTCTGCCTCCAGCAGGTTGTTCTCCAGTCTCTGTTTGGACAGGCGCTCCTCTTGCAGCTTCCTCTCCATGTCTGCGGGTAGATAAAGACCCACTGCTGGTCAGTATTGCTATGTGTCAATCAGATGTGATCAGTGATTACAAATGTTGCAAATAGGTCTTCACAGCATTTATTATTTTACCTATCAGAGAAACCTGTTGTTCCAGCAGACAGATCTAAGTTTCATGCTGGAACTTCCCTATCACAAAAAACATTCATGTGTCCTCATAGGACATTATATCATACACAGAGGGCTTCAGAAAACGTACTAGATTTTAATCAATTTCTTTTTTTTTTTTTAGGGTTTGTGTAAAGTGCATTTGTAGGCTAATTTTATAAGCGTTTGGAATTCAATGTTTGAGTTTCAGAATGGATTTATGGAGTAGCGATTACTCGTGTTTATCTATTATTATCAAATGGATAGGTAAACACAGGTGATCACTACTCTATAGGCATTACTGACCTCTTTCTCAAAATGCTAGGCAACTGGCTGTCATACTGACCTGTTTGTTTTTAAACTTTAGGACACTGACCTGGAGTTTTTTTTTTTTTTTTTTTTTTAACATTTCTTTAGTTACACGAGTGCAGTTTGCTTTTCCCTGCTCTTTCTTAAGATGAGCAGCATTATCAGAAGGAGTTTTGCAAAGATGTCACCTTTATCTAATGACATGTTTTAATTTAAGTCCACCCAAAAATTAATATGCCAGTCATGGATGGATGGATGGATGCTGGTGGGTTAAACCATATACTGGCTCCTCCTGGGATCTTTGTAGTCAAATCCTCCAGCTAAAACTCCCTACAAGGCATTGGTAGGCTAATAAAAAATGCATAATAGCTTTCTCAAAGCAGAAAGGACTGCTGGGTAAATGTAGTTTTATTATTACACACTTCAAGTAAATGCCCTACCCATTGTTTTTTGGTTTGAATGGCAGCTCAGGGAAAATGATAAAATAAAATAAACTCCCGCCAAAGAAAATCAAAACCTCAATAAAGAATTACTGCTGCTCATAGATGAAAAAAAATCAACACAATGTGACCAAAACGCAGCGCATAAATACACACACCCATTTCAAACAAGTTGACAGGAACGGGTATATCCCAACACATAGCTGTCATTATCATGGATGGCTTAAAGTGATTCCTAAGCCAATTCATGCAAATCAAGCAAAATTGTGATGAAGAATTAGACATTAGTGAACAGACAGATTTTAATTAAAAAATTCGAGGAGAAGGGGTATAGAGGAAAAGAGTTGAGGGACACCAGGGACAAGGTTAGGAATATGAAAAGGGATGAATTGCTAAAGAAAAAAATTAGAAAGAGATAACTTTGATCTGGCATTTATTACGGTTTCTCAAAACACAAACTATTAGAGAATATATTTATGAATCACTGGCCAATTTTATTGCATGAAGAGGTATTGGGAAAGCTTTTGCCCAAGAAGAACAAATTTATTTACAGGAGGACACCCACCCTGAGGACTAAACTTGTGAAGAATGTCCCAGATCCACCTTCCAAGAAGGTTACCTTTTTGGATCAGGTGGGTTTTTTAACATGTGGGAGGCCTATAGCATGTAAAACAATGAGGGGTGATAATATTAAGAAAAAAAGTGCAATTGCAGTCTCAAGTCAGAGGGGATACATAGAAGATTCAGAAATGTATTTCATGTGATAGTAACCATGTAACGTACCTTCTGAAATGTCTCTGTCATTTACAATATATAGGGAGGACAACTAGGAAACTTGCCATGAGGCTTGGTGAAAATATTAGGAATATCAAAAAAGGTTTCAAACATCATAGCCTGCCTTATCACTTTAGAAAATGTCACAATAGGGATCCATCTTTGCTTAAGTTCTGAGGGATTGACAGAATTGAATCCCATTGGGGTGGTGGTGACATGAGGAGGTCAGTCTCACAGAATGAGACAAAGTGGATTCTAAAATTAAGTACTTTGGACCCTAGAGGGTTAAATGCAGATATAGACTTGAATTGTTTCTTATCCAGTTGGTAATTGAAGGAAGGAAGTGTGGTAAAAATTATAGAGGAATCCAACATTGATTAATTTATATAAATTTTATAATTATTTTTTATATATATATATATATATATATATATAATATAATTCTTGACTATTTATTATATTTGTGTTAATTATGGTTCCATATTGAAGGTTGAGTAATTAATATTGCTATTTAAATTGATTTTTAGGATTGTTTTTTCATGCATTATGCCGATTTTAGAGGTAACGATATTGCATTGTGAATGGTAGCCGAAGGATTCCGATCGGGAAGTGAATTCGCAGTAGGAGTGATCAGAGGAGTCTCATTTATTAAAAGCAGGGAATCAAATAAGTGGGAGTAGTGGGGAGGTATATCTTGAAGCAGGAACCCGAGATCAATGTCTGTGATAATGCCCTGGGTTGACGCAGTTTCTGGTTCTGACGGAGGCTTCGTGACGTCACGTCCGCTGAGTGGAAAGCACAGTGGTTGCGGCGCTCCAGAGCTTTTTGTTGGAGAGGAGTGCACATCTCCATAGACTGCTGCCAGTTCACTCTCTAATGCTGATGTGATCTGCTATTTGGTTCCATGGATTAATGTTGATGGGATCTGTTATCTGCCTGAGGAGTCTATATGTTCAAAAAGGCTTAAAAAAATTTTTTAAAATGTGAGTGCCATATGGGCATCAATTTTTTAACTATTAAAAACAGTATCACACGATCGGTGTTTCTGTCATCTCTTTTGCATTGCTATCCAACTATGGGTGATCGTTTGGAGATTGTCAAGCAAGGATTTCCTGAGTGGGATACATTTGTGGAGGTTATACCCCACCTTTAAGCCTTTAAGCCTCAGTTTGACTCCATTTCATCTGGTGATAGCGGGCAGGATTGGAAGTCACAGATGGTGTGGGCACGTTGGAGACTTTTTTGGAGCACTATTTTCTGATTGGAGCACAATATTCACTACTGATTTGGGACTTTTGTTTCTTAATATTATTATTTATTTTGGTACTTGTTTATTGTTTAACTAATTTATATGTTTTTTTTTTTTTTTTGCGCTGCGGTTTTGTCATAGGGAAAATAATGACCTAGGTCTGGCAGCTCATGCTGGAACATAAGTGACAACACAGGGGTCGCAAATTCAAATAGGGAACTTTAAGCAATGCTATCTGGGAAATGCATGCAAACCTCTCCAAAAGCAGAAAGGGCTAGTTCGTAAACATCACATTTGCATGGCAGGCCTTTATTTGTGAAAGATGGGATGGTATTTAAAAAGGTTAATTAAGGTAGGCTTTAAAACAATCTAGAAATATACAGAAAACTTAACAAATTGAGCTGAATTCCATCCAAAGAGTCTGCTGGGTGAAGACTGCATGGCTTTATATGAAGGATGCCAGGCCTGAACCCTGCAGACTGAGTGCTGTTTACTTTGGCACAGGTATAACTAGATCTTTGTGTCTTTCTTCAGTCGTGTGTGGGGTCCAGTCATAGCAGAGAAGGGCAGGATTAAGCCCTGTGTATGGCTCACAGGAAGAATCCAGCCCTAATTTCACATGACCTTTTTCAGTCCGCCCCATGGCTGCACTTAAAAAAAAAAAATGAAGACCAATGGCATGTTGTGCGTCACACCTAAGGTATTACAACCATTTCCCAACATAAAACAGCCTTTCAAGGACAAACATTCAGCTACCAGGAACTATTAGAAATTCTATTTAACCACTTGCAGTCCTTCCCGTTGTACTGGAATGGACAGGCGGCACACTGCTAGGTAAATTTAGGCAACGTCATTATGCTGGAAGGTGTCTGGACACACATGTGGATCCACAGCAGCAGTGTCCATACTCCGTGTCCTTGACATATGTATGCGATTGGTCTCTGTACACAAGTTGAAATGCATTGATTGATGCAACTAATTTGGCATTTTAATATTTTTTTCTTTACATATATGGGAAGCACTATAGATTTATTTTTAACATAGTCTTGGTGGAGATTTTCCCCCTAAGGGGATGCAGGCTTTTTCTGTCCTTGTCAACCACATGAGGTCCAACTAATAAGATGAGTGCATACTATCAGTGATATCTAGCACTGCAGGTGACTGAAGACATTTGAAGATAGTGGTAGAGCAACACTGATGACAAGCACCACTGGTGCACTGATTTGAAGGATTGAAGACACTTGGACTAATATAATATTAGTTTATGTTATAGACTTTATGCATGGATAGCACAATCTCATTTTATGGAAGGCAAAGTATTTAACCCCTTACCATCCCAAAATCTCGTTAAAAAGTTCTGAACGTTTGGTGGATGGGAAGGATTGACAATCACGTGACCACTGTAATTGGCTGCCAACAGTGGTCACGTGATTGGGAGCCGGTCTCACCAGATAACGATCAATAATCTGGACCGAGAACTGTCTTTGACAGTTTGGTTTCTTTGCTGAGAGCACGCTTCGTTAATCCAGACCGAAGGCTGCTTTTGACAGCTAGGTTTATGTTCTGGAAGTACAATCTTAGTACAGAAACATAGCCTGCCCAGAGACACATATGTGCGGCATGTGGACTTTAAAGCCCACCCTTTTGCCACTGCGCATATGTGTTATGTGGGCGGCAACATGTTAATGGCATTTAGAACTTTCTATTGGATGGAGTGCTTTTTTTGATAATCTCATGTCTTTTATTTTTTAAATAGTCAGGAAAGTGGCATCAGCACTGCAATTATTTGGTTTTATAATTTGGGTACAGTGTTGCATGATAGAGTAATTGTCAAACTATTACAGCGCTGAAAACTGGTCTGGAGGAGGAAGGGGGGGTGCAACATGCTGGTTCTCATAATACTATGCCTGTGCAGTGTGTGGTGTTGGTGCAATTGCTTAAGAATCAGGGGAGAATGTAGCAGGATGAACTTAACAAGCACAACTTGGAGACAGTGGTCATCCCATAACAAAGAAAATATTAATATAGATTTAAAACCAGTTATTTAATATAAGACCGATATTTTTAGTCTGCATGTTGCTTGAAAAGCCTGACAGTTGCTGCCATGTCAACTATCTGACTACGCTCACAGTTCTCCAGCTCCTGAGAGTATATAACAGCAGGAAACAACATTATTAGAAGGGAAGTGCATTGGGAGAAAAGGAAAAAAAGGGCATAAAAAGCCATCAGTTGATTGCAGAAACCACAGTATGGAAAAGGGCACAACGGTATCTATCTTGATCTGTTCTTAACAAATTCATGCAAGAAAAATGTCAGTACATAATGACATATTACAGAACAGCTCACTGGAAAATAAGTCACATAATTTGCAGCCATCAAGCTTTCTTGAGCTGCTTTTACCATACTGACAATGTTTTTATTAAAAAAAAAAAAAAAATTCAAAGGACTGCCCTTGCAGAGTTGTTACATTCATAACAAGCAAGCATCGATGGAAAGGAAGTGTTCAACAATCAATCTACCTTTCATGGCTTCTGATTTGGTCTCCTCAATAGATTGGTAGATTTTGTTCTTGTCAGCCAGCCGTGCCTTGGTGGCTTTGTGTTCGGCTTCCTCCTTCTCCACACATTGCTGCAGTGCTTTCAGCTTGTATGTCATGTCAATCTCCAGGTTGTTTTTTTCCTACATTCACACACACAACGGTATGGTTACCAAGCAAAGCAATTAAAGTGTTCCTATATGTCAACATTAAAAATATTAGGGGAGAGAGCACACATCACAGGGATGTTTCTCAGTATCAAACAATGACACCAATCTCATCTAATAAAATATCCCAGAATGGTTAAAGTTTCAGTCACATGATCTACTATGTTCCTGAGCAGGGGCACACAACTTATGCTAAGGAATATGTCAAATGACAAGAACCACAGCATTTCAAGGTTATTTTATTACAAATGAATAGTAACATTTTAGGATGCTTAAAATACATTTCTGCAATGTGTTCTGTCTGCCTAATTCTTACAGCTTTTATTTTATCCATAGGCATGATATAAAAACCGTGGTTCACCTTACTCCATCCAACAAAGCATTTTCCCCTCTGCATAAATTCTGAACAGATTAAAATGGTAAAGGGAACTCTTCCCCTCATGAACAAGCTAATTGTACTAATAGCAAAATAAAACCCTTTTTATTTACCCCAAATCCTGCTGTCATTACAGCAATGTTAATCCCTTTATTACCCCCCGGTAACATCAAGCCTGACTTTGAAGTCGTGTAACTTACAGTGAAGTCACATGATTTCAAAGTTGGGTGAGATGCCGATTTCAGGTGCGATTTGCAAGACATCTGACACAGATGTATATGCAAATCGCACCAAAAGTAGTACATGTACTACTTTATAAATCGGTGCTGCTCCGACCAAGTCAGAACTGCACCGATTTGACCGCTCATATTGCAGACAGTAGGGTGCAACTTGGCATACGATTTGCAAGTCTCATGGCATGCAAATCGCACCTGATGTGACCGGGGGGGTTAAGAAGGGTAAAGCTAATCTTAATGCCTGAAGTTTTACAACTCTGACATATGTACATATCAAACTACTGAGTGCATTAGTGTTTTTATCATGACAAATTGGTCTTTCATTTGATGGTAAAGGGTGATATCTCCCGATTTGTTTTTTTTTATTATCAAAGGAAAACTGGCATAAGACTTAATAGCAGAGTATAATTTCTGTGCTGGAAGCAAACTGTGCAGCACGCGCTCAGCACAAGCACCGAGGTGCATATACTATATGTGGCCCCACGGAAAAAGACCCACTTCCGTGATGCCACATATATGCGTATGCTCATCTGCAAGGGAATAAAGCTAATTGATACCAAGTTTGTTAATAAACAAACCAAATGCTGATAAAAAAGCCACCTTTTCCAGGGCACCATATCGCTCGTGAAGTTGTCTCTTTTCTGATTCCGCCCGAGCCAGGAGATCCTTCCCTTTCTTTACTTCCTCCTCTAGAACAGATATCCGGCCTGCACAGAAGATAAGGACAGACATCAGCCAACTGCCAATTATCACTCACTGTCGCGCTGTACATATTAAAAAAAAAATTAAACAAAAATGTCTAAGTTCTAAAGAAAACTATATTGGCAACTTTTACCAGCTCTTTGAATTGCCAAACTTCAATAAAGAGTTTACTGTCCAAATATTCTTAGCAACTTTCTCATGGAGTCATGAAATACTATCTGGTGAAAGCGCAGTTCCTGCTGCCCATAATTTTCAGCTTCTCCTTTCTCCTGAACTGCACCTCTCCCCCCCCCCCCCTCCAACGCGTTTCGCCATGTAGTAAAGAACACATTTTAACTTGATTTACCACAACAAACAGGTTTGAATGAGGCCTAACTGACCCCCTGGATAAACCCCACCCCCCCAGTGACTAACAGATTAATATATTAATGTTTGGAGGCTGTGGCCTTAAAATAAAAATAAAAAAAAACAGTGTATATAGAACGGTTGACCGTCAATGCTGCATGGCTGTAAAAAAAATGATTAAATATTTATTAAGAATAGTCTAATTACAGCTACTATGAGGCCAAGCAAAGTCTACTTATTTTCACTTCAAATTACAACATATTTATGACTTTGTATGAGAGCTGAAAAATAAAAATACTTTTTAAATAGCATATATCCCTACCCTGAAGGTCACTGATGATCTCTGAACCATGAGTCTTATCCCTCTTTTCAGACTCAAGAGCAGACTGCAGGTTGATGTAATCTTTCTCTAGCTTGAGTTTAGCATTCTCCAACATGCACGTCTTATCCTGGAGTTCACGATTATTTGTTTCCAACTGCTGAATCTGTTTGGACATTTCATTCTGTGTTTTTCGTAAACGGGCAGCTGTATCAGACTCTGTCCGGAGGAGAGCATTGGCCTCATCCAGCTGGGAATAAAGGGGCAAAGTTAGGTGCATAGTATGAGTGTAAACATTTTATAAGTGTCTAGTATGAGTGCAAACCTATCAATTTAAAGGAAAAATAAAAATGTTCTCACCTGTCTTTGCAGCTGATTTATTTTCTCATTGGAGATTTGGGAATTTTGGTTTCTCTTTTTCAGGTCTTCAAGTTGATCCTTAAGGCTATTCACTGTAGAAGAGACAAAAGAATTTCTGTGCTGCAAAGCTGAAAAGCCCTTTTACAAAAACAAAGATCAAACAATTGTTTTGTATATCACTTATATTTTCCCCAACAGAAAACAGTGCAATCTGTGAGGCTTGGGCAAATCTAGTCTTTTCATATATGAATGTATGTATAAGAAGGACCTTGGTTACTTCTACAAGACTTTACTTTAAACATAGTTGCATCTTTATAAGTCTACTGTCACTACGATTGTATATTAGTGTAGGATCGACACATAGGGAGATACCGCGAAGTGGAGTACAGAACATACAAATACATGTTACAGTCAGATTACACAATTGCCTTTAGATGTACCCACAACTTTGTGGACCTGGTCAATAGGATACAAATGAAATAGATTATTTGGAGTGGCTTCACATTACACAGTTTTGTAAATCTAAAGAAGATTGGACATGGATTCTACAATCAGACCATAACGTGTATTGTCAGCTTAACACGGTCAGCTAACTGTGTCTACTGACAGCTCATTTCCCCAGCAAACTATAGTCATCCCTTGTTTGCTACCTCTCTTGTCTACTGAAGTCCTCGTCGCAATAGGGTTTCAAGTATGGTGGAGCATGACCTCCCTCCTTTGATGGTGCCCAATTTTTGGGCTATCAGAAGGAAGAGCAAGTTCACCCTGGGTAAGATTCTGAGCTTTCCTTGGTGGATGACGTCACATTACCCTCATTAACTGACAGTGACGTTATCGATATAGAAAAGCTCTGACATCTGAACTTACCCAGAACGGTTGCATTTTCCTTTTTAATAGCCCAAAAGGGGACAGGACAAAGTGACAGTGACTACTAAGATTTCTGCTTTTACTTGAGAATAGAATGTCACCAGGGGCCTAAATAAAACATTTTTTTTAAATCTTATCACTCTCTTTTCTACACCAGTGTAAAAAACCCTAGCAGCATGCAAAAGATGATCAGGTCCAGTACCACAACAACCTATGCAGATTAAAAAAATCCCACGGCAAACATTTTTAAGCCGACGTGCTCAGAGCACCCTTCAGTCTCAGAGAAAGGAGTGTAGTGTGCCAGCACTGTCTGCTATAATAAAGCCAGCAGATCACTACAAACCTCCTTAACCATTGCCAATCAACTGTCTAAAGGATCTTACTGATTTAACATTCCTTCCATATCTGGCACACAATGCAGCTCACAAACCTTCATTTTCTAGGCTGCGTTTCTTATCTGCCTCATTTTCAATTTTTCTTTGGTACTCGGCACTCTTGTGCTGCAAAAGAGCTTTTCTCTCTCTCCAGCTGCCGACTAGTGGATTCCAAGTTCTTCCGAGAATTTGCCTACAATAAGAACAAACAAAAATACTGTTCATGACAAGAAAAAAAAAAAAGCAGAGACTGGTAGCAGAGCGAGTACTGAACAGACCAAATCACTCATTTAAAGCGTATGTAAAAGCAAAATAGTTTTTTTTTTTTTAGTTTTGTATAGAGTGAAGAATGATTAGAGCCTCTTTTAGGTTTTCACTGCTGTCTGTTTCCCTGATGGGAAAATTCTCCCTTCAATTTGTCCTGGTGACAACTGCCACAATGACAGAAAGTGATGAAAAAAATCCAACATTTTAGAATGGGACAAAATACTCCAGTTGGGACCCCTGGGAATTTCAATAAAATACACTTACTATAGTGATGGACCACAGCCCATGACCTGGGGCTAAGTAAACATGCTGCACAAAGTGCCAAGGTGAGTGTCCATACAGGATCCAGTGCCCCAAAGTAACATTACAGGCCATCCCAACAGTGTAGGGTTTGGGTACAGTTCCCAAGGTTTTACGGAGGTTGCCCCGATCCGGATGCACTGCTTCTATTGTTGTATTAGAAGACAGTGAAGTTGACTGAAGAGCTGATTGAATAATCCAAAGACCAAAAAAAAATTAAGCAGTTAAAGAAGAAGTACCGCCAAAGCTCTGAGAGCAGCTAAGAGCGTGAGCCAGCCGCTCCCTCCCCCTCCACAACCCAGCAGTCCAGTCACCGCTTTCTGTTCAGAGCGGCGGTGAGAACTCAGCAGTCACGTGAATGCCGAGTTCTTACACTTAGAGCTGGTGGGGGACAGATGCATCCACCTAAGTATAATTTGGGGACCCCCCAAAAAACTTCTCTTTTAAGTGATTTCTCTATAAGGAAGAAAAAGTCCATCACCTTGGGACACTAAGCAAAAAAACTAAGGACTTACAAAGTGATGTATACTTATAGGGGTACTGTCCTCAAAAGCTCAAAGCCACAGGCCATTCCCAGAGTGTGTGATCAAGTAGGGTTCTCAAAGTTATAGTGATTTTGCACTGATCTGGATACACTGCTTCTATTGTTGAATTGGAAGACAGTGCTGAACGAAAAATGCAATAAGAGGATTACCTAGTGAATCAAATGATTGCCCCATAAGGGTGAAGAGGCCCATCACCTTAGGACACTAGCAAAAAATGGGGGTAGGCCTGTCCAGCAAACTTTTGCCAGTGTCCAATCACCTAAAGGTTCCAGCCTATAACCCAGGGTCTACAGATACTCAGCCTGTGTCTTGTACTGTACATTTAAGAAATTAAAATTATACTTTCCATTGTAAATGATACTTAGTGCTAGAATAAACTAACCATCATTTAATTAGGGTTTACATGCAAGTTTTCAGTTCAGCTAACATAAGGCAAAAAAGGAACCCATTCAATTTTTCCCACAAAGTTTCAAAATATTTTGTGTGCGCACACTTGCAATTCTGTATTGCAAATACAGTGACAAGTAGTTATATGTAATGATTTCAACAGTTTTATTCACTACTTTCACCATATTTGCTTTTACAGCTCATTTCAGACGACACTTGATGTTCGTTCTAGCGCTCATCTGCATTTGGACAGCACTTGGCTGCTAGCTGAAGTACATTGCTTATTATATAAATGTCCAGCTATTTTTATTGAATCCTCCAAACTTGTGCATTTGAAGACCTTACACAACATTTGGTGGCAAAGCAGGTGACTTCTAGCACTGTTATTCATCTGGTGATGGTATGTGAACTGCTCCTCTACCTCAGATTAGGTGGAACCAAAGATTCAAAGATCTGCCTATATATTTTCACCCCTCAGGTTTTAAGCCTTTTCCGCTCTACTCCTCCCAAAAAAAAAAAAATATATATATATAGCTGGAGCGCTTCTTTAATTTCAACTTAAGCTGGTATAACTGAAAGCAATTAAACAATTACCTCTTCATCCAGTTCCCTCAATGTCTTCTCCAGCCGAGAATTTAAGGACCTAAATGAATTAACACACAAAACTTAGAAAATTCCTTACATTATCACAAATGGTAATTTGCGCCTTACAATGAATTACCAATCTGCTGTCATGGACCTCTAACTGCTTTTATTTTGTAGATATATCAGCTAAGATCAAGAACATGGGGGCATGACTTCAAGTAACAGGAGGAAAGTTAAAATATAACTTATTTTCCTGAAAGAGTAGTCAGCCAAAAGTAAGTACATTTTTAACATGCTTGGGACAAACATAGATCTACAGTGGGTATAGAAAAGAATCACCCACCTAAAAAAAAAAAAAAAAAAAAAAAAAAATCACATTTTGTTGCTTTGCAACCTGAAATGAAGACAGACACAGTTTTTGTTTTATCCGGCTGTATTTACTCAGTGCAACTTATAACATCCACGTGAATAATATAACACTAACATGTCAGAGAAAAATATAAAAAATTCAAAAACATAATCAGTGAGTTGGAAAAAGGAACACCCCCTTGTGTCAGTATTTTGTTGAACCACCTTTTGCTTTAATTACAGCCTTTAGTCTATTGGGATATGTCTCTATTAACTTTGCACATCTAGACTGCAATATTTGCCCACTCTTCTTTACAAAACTGCTCAAGTTCAGTTAAATGGTTATGGTGATTGTTTGTGGACTGCAGTCTTCAAGTCATTCCACAGATTTTCAATGGGGTTTAAGTCTGGGCTCTGACTAGGCCATGCAAGGACATTCTCCTTCAACCACTGTGTGGTCATTTTTGCTGTTGCTTTGGATCATTGTCATGTTGTAAGGTAAACCTTCTTCCCATTGTCATCTTTCTGGCAGAGGGATCTGGCAAAGAGATTTTCCTCAAGAATTTAACAGTATTTTGCCCCATTAATTTTTCCTTCTATCCCAAGAAGTGCCCCAGTCCCTGCTGCAGAGAACCCCCCCATAACAGGATATTACCACCTCTGTGCTTTACTGTAGGAATGGTGTTATTTGGATGGTGATCTGTATTGGATTTCCATCACACATATCGTTTGGTGTTAAGGCCAAATAATTCAGTTTTAGCCTCATCTGATCATAACACCTTTTTCCACGTGGCCTTAGAATCTTCAAGGTTCATTTTGGCAAAGCTCAGTCATGACTTCATGTGGCCTTTCTTGAGGAGCGGCTTTTCCCTCCAATACAAGCCACATTTGTGGGGAATTTGTGATATTGTTGTCACATGCACACAATGACCACTCTGTCATAAATTCCTGCAACTGCTTCAAAGTTGCTGGAGGCCTCCTGGTAGCCTCGCTGATCGGTTTCCTCCTCGCGCTTTCATCCAGTTTAGAATGATATCTTAATTCAGGGAGGGTCTGTGTTGTACCAAATACCTTCCATTTCTTAATAGACTTTACTGTGTTTCTGAGCATTGATAAAGCCTTTTAATTGTTTTTGTATCCATCTCCTGACTTGTGCCTGTCCACAATTTTATCCCACAGATGCTTTCACAGTATCTTGCCGCACATAGTTGTTTGCTTCAGTTGCACTATCAGGGACTGAAATGCTCCAGGAAAGCTCTTTTCATGCTGAGTTAATCAAAAAGACCACAGCTGAACACAGTTGAAAGTCTAAATGCTTTGTGTGCCATTAAGAAGGTGATTTTAGCTACAGCTGACTAAGTTTACAAGTCATTTTAGGAGGAGAAGATCCTTTTTCCAACTGTCATTCTGTTTTTGATTTTTTTTTTTTCCCCTGACATGTTGGTGTTATATCTTTCACTTGGATGTTATAAGTGGCACTGAGTAAATATATCTGGATAAAACAAAAACTGTGCCTGTCCTCATTTCAGGCTGTAAAGCAACAAAATGTGATTATTTAAAAGGCAGTGATTCTTTTCTATACCTACTGTATACTTGGACAAAAGGGTTTTTGTATTCTTTTTTTTTTCACCTGGTGATCCTGCAGTAACACTTCCAGTCCGAAGGTGTTAGATTCCCCACTGTTAGAATACAATAGCATGGCATCAATTGTGTGGATGTGGGGACCTGTCAGGGTATTTGGATGAACAAAACAAACAAAAACTCTCAGTGTACACTCACCGGCCACTTTATGAGGTATACCTTGCTAGTACCAGGTTGGACCCCCTTTTGCCTTAAGACCTGCCTTAATTCTTTGTGGCATAGATTCAGCAAGGTGTTGGAAACATTCCTCAAAAATGTTAGTCAATAATGGCATGATAGCATCATGCATTTGCTGCAGATTTGTCGGCTGCACATCCATGATGCAAATCTCCTGTTCCACCACATCCCAAAGGTGCTCTATTGGATTGAGATATGGCGACTATGGAGGCCACTGGAGTACAGTGAACTCATTGTCATGTTAAAGAAATCGGTTTGAGATGATTTGAGCTTTGTGACATGGTGCATTATCCTGCTGGAAGTAGCCATGAGAAGATGAGTACACTGTAGTCATAAAGGGATGGACATGATCAGCAACAATACTCAAGTAGGCCGTGGCATTTAAATAATGCTCAATTGGTACTAAGGGGTCCAGAGTGTGCACAGAAAATATCCCCCACACCATTACACCATCACCAGCAGTCTGAACTGTTGATACAAGGCAGGATGGATCCATGCTTTCATGTTATTTATGCCAAATTCTGAGCTTACCATCTTATAGTCGCAACTGAAATCGAGACTCATCAGCCCAGGCAATGTTTTTCCAATCTTCTATTGTCCAATTTTGGTGAGCCTGTGCGAATTGTAGCCTTATTAGTGGACAGGAGTGGCACCCGCTGTGGTCTTCTGCTACCGTAGCCCAACTGCTTCAAGGTTCAACATATTGTGCACACAGAGATGTTATTCGGCATACTTTGGTTGTAATGAGTGGTTATTTGAGTTACTATTGCCTTTTTATCTATCTTGAACCAGTCTGCCCATTCTCCTTTGACCTCTGATATCAACAAGACATTGTCGTCCACACAACTGCCGCTCACTGGATATTTTCTTTTTTTTTTGGACCATTCTCTGTAAACCCTAGAGATGGTTGTGTGTGAATCCTAGTAGATCAGCAGTTACCATGCCATGTTCAAAGTCACTTAAATCCCCTTTCTTCTCCCATTCTGATGCTTGGTTTGAACTTCAGCAAGTCATCTTCAACACGTTTAGATGCCTAAATGCACTGAGTTGCTGCCATGTGATTGGCTGATTAGCAATTTGTGTTACCAAGCAATTGAACAAGTGCACATAATAAAGAGGCCAGTGAGCGTATATCCTACTTTAGTCAATGCACCCATGAAGAGATACAGGGAGAGAAGTGGAGCAGGTACAGAACTGTGCATTTAAATGTCTAACCAATCTTCTGATATGTAAAGCAGTACAATGGCAATGTTTACACACCTGTATTTGTGTTCAAGCTCCTCTTTAGATTGCACCTCATTTTGGAGCTTATCCTTTAGCTGCTGAATGGATTTCTGGAACTGTGCAGATTCCTACAAACATAGAATAGTAAAGAGAACATTATAAGTCACGTGTTAATGACACAGAAGGGCTGCTTTACTAAAACTGGAGAGTGCAAAATCTGGGGCAGCTCTGCAGCTTCCAATTTTTTTTTGGCAACGCTTACTTGAACAATCTGAAGTTAGAGCTAAATGGCTACCATGCACATCTGAACTAGATTTTGCACTCTCCAGTTTTAGTAAATCAACCCCAGAGGGACATACACTTTACATAGAAGAAAATTCAAATTTGTCAAACACATTTTTAATAGAAAACAACAACTTACTATAGATGGGGATATTTCTAAGGTTGCCAAGACTAGCTTTTGAAAAGATTTGGGCTGATCCAATAAGTAATCACTATGTATGGTGTAACAAGTGAAGGTCAATGGACGGCTTTTTTGTTAAGTTCATACAAGGTAAAGGAACAGCTTCTTTTACCTGACAAAATCTAACAGGGTTTAGGTACTATGTGTGTTCATGTACATTCCTCTGCCTCCAGGTATTTTCCATTAGTGTCCCTGTAACAAAGCAGCTGGACAGGGCTCTAAATATGCACTGAATGTGAATATGAGTTCATATGGACACCACTTGGAAATATCCTGGCTTATCAGGCCCAGAAACTAGACACAGCACAGATAGATTCCAGCTGTTGGGTCAATAGCCTCCAGACTGATATAATCATTATAATATGACTTTTCTAGTGTCAAGTCGGGTATTGGATACCGCAGGGCTGAGGAACAGAGACAGTAGTTTATTTCTGCATTACCGTAAGAATGGATGGAAATTACACATAATTTAAGCATAAACATTTACTTTTTTAATATAGTGGAGTTGTCATATGACATAGCATTGTTTTTTAAAGCTGAACTCCAGGTCTATGTAAAACACAAAATATTCCAGCTCTGTGTTATGTAATAAATCTATTTTATTTATTTTTTTATTGCAAGTACCTGAAATTTACCTGATATCAGCTTTTGCAATCCGCTATACAGCAGAGATCAGACTGGGATTGTGAGAAACAGCACAAGGAGGTTGAATGGGTGTGCTGTAGTGCTAACAAAGGGCATGCTGACAGCTAGAGAGAGCAAGGGACAGAGAGAATATGCTGTTTGCCCTTCACTGTCCAACAAACTGGAGGGAGAAAAAGACCTAGTTGTATTACTTAAAGCCTAAATCCAGCTTTCTGCAACTTTAAAATAGTATGTTTGGACTGAGTTGGTCCGAACGATTACCTTTCACAACAGATGCATCAATGAGCGCTGCAAAAACTGTATGTAGCATCAGCTACATATAGTATACAAAGCTGTGTTCCAGTAGCAGGATGGGGACTTCCCATCCCCAGAACAAATTCAAGTCAGGTGGAGACCTGCTCAGCCATTCACAGGAAGCTTTGTGTTTTCTGATTGGCTGAGGTAAGCAGATGATGTCACGATCTCCACTCCCAATCAGAGGAAGCCTTATATTAATTCAGAAAACAAACAAATGCCTCCTGTGAATAGTTTAGCAATGCTCAGCCGCACTCTCTTTTGTTTCAGGAGCGGGACGGAATGTCCACTTTCCACTGCTGGAACACAATGTTGCATCCTGTATGCAGTCAATCCTGCATACAGTTTATACAGAGCTCCCAGCATCTGTTAGTGAAGGCAATAGTTTGTTCAGACTAGCTTGGTCCAAGCAAACTATTTTAGGCTCCATGCACACTAGCATTTCTTAAGCTTCTAGAAGCTGTTCTCAGCATCTTTTCTGCTCCTAGAAGCTAAAATAGTGTTATCCCATGTGTACATGCACACTATTTTAGGCTAGTAGCGTTTTTCAAGCTTCAGTGTTTAGAAGCAGAAAAAAAAGAGTTTTTGAAAACATCCCCCCCCCCCTTCCCCTTTCCCCACCATGGTTATAGGAGGTGCAAACGAAAAATGTGCTGTTTCTTATTGCTGACCACCTCCATTCTCTCTACCCTTGGTAGTTTCCTTCTTGTTCCCAATTCCTATGCAACACTGGACCAGTTTGCCAAGAGTTGAGCTCAGTTTACTTGTATTAGCTTTTGACGTCGGGAACCTCCGTGTATTTAAAATATACTCGTTGGGTTATTTCCTGGAATGTTCCAAAACTTTATTGATGGACAGAGATGTCATGGTGACAGATGTGTGTAAACATCATTAATAAATATGGTATAGTATTATTGCATTGAATGATGTGGCTATGGTGTAAAACTTGCAACATGATTATTCTTATACTCCAATAAAAATGATTGAAAAGAATAAAGTGGTCAGAGTCAGTCCAGAGTTCAGCATGTGTATTACTGGGGGAGAGCATTTTGTACATTTTCTTCCTTTTTTTACTGGATAACGACAGAACAATGATGGTAGGCAAGACTTCGAGTTCTAGTGAGCAAAGAGTTCTTTGGATTCTCTGAAAAGCCTTTTGGTATGATTTGAATATCTGGGCTCTCAGCCACGAAGGTAACACGTCACACAGAGACACTACCTGAGGCACAAGGCTAACAATTACCTCTTTTGTAGGCTGTATGGAAGAATTCTTTTCTTCCCTGAATTGGGAAGGGTCCTTCAGCAATCTGTGTAAATTAAAAAAAAAATAAAACTTTATATATATATATATATATATATATATATATATATATATATATATATATACACACACATACATATACATATATATACACACACACACACACACACACACACACACACACACATACACACACACACACACACACACACACACACACACACACACATATATATATATATATACACATACACATACACACAACATATATAATATATAAATACAAGAGAAAGAAAGAAAGAAAGGAGGAGGGAAAGACATTGAACAGTTCAGACTCATAAAAATACTTGGCCATAGCAGGGCAGATTTCTAAACAGTTTGCACAATTTGGATCAAAGACGGCAGCGTAGAAATATTTTGATTACGGCTGTGTTTCTAAACATTTAGGTCATGGGATGATCCAGGGCAGGCGAGGAGAAGAAAGCTATACTCAGGAAGGACTGAATTCAGCCACAGTTTACTGCCGCTAACCTCAGGGGAACAGACTGTGACTTTTCCCAGAATGCCTTGGAAGCCTTAACCATCTCAAAGAGCAGGTCCAGCTGGCAGCTCCTTGCAGGCATATATTCACGTCCTGTAACCCTGTCCAACACATGTGCAGAAGTCTTGCCACAGGACGGTTATGCTGCTCTGCATAGTTTAGGTGACTCCTGATCACAACAAACTTATCTTCTAATCATTATTTAAAGTTAAAGAATTACAGTCTACCTTTCCTTTTTCCCAAATATTTAACAGCTTTAAAACAGACTAATTTTTAAAACAATTAATGAGATAAAAAAAAATGTTTAAACTATTTATATATTATAAATTTTATAAAGAACTTGGGCTTTTCCTTAAGAGTCAATGCACCTGCCACCCAAAAGCTTCCTTTTCCTTTAAGAGACCCTTATGATGAGATCTCACCACCATTGTTCCTGGCTTTTTTCCTATACAGCTAGGAATTTGGGTCGTTACTGCCAAATGGCTTGCATTCTTTAATAAATAACATACAGTACATTAAAAGTCCAAACGAGAGAGAGCAGGACCTCCTTGTCAATGCCATAGCAGGTATGTAAGACCTTGGAACCTAAGGTAAGATGTATCACAAATGGAGACCCTGAAAAACCTAAGCAAATATTTAACTGTGATTCGGCTCTCTTATCCTCTACCATAAATGCTCATATCCATTTTAGATGGACTGGCCCTTAAAACTGCACTGGAAAATGACAGTTGAGAGAATGGAGGAGTGAAACTGACTAATGGCTATTGGGAACTAGACACACCTAATGCATGTCTATGGTAACATTCCAGTTCAAATGAAGGTGGACAACATGGCTACGAATAAAATGTGAACATTTCCCCATGGGGTACAGCAGGTGCCTGCACAACCTGACCAATCAAAATAAAGCAATAAATATTATTTGCAAAGTTGGCATATGTGCATACCTGAACCAAAGTTCAAACTTTTGGAAAACTGTTTTAATTAGTGGACTTGCATTTTAAAGCTGTAAATAATGATGGACTTGTGTACATACACATTTCGCATGGAGACATTTCTGACCATTTATAAAGGACATGCAGTGACTTGAAACCAACCCTGTCCTAAACAAAGCAACCTCAGGGCCTAGCAACACCTATTTTTTGACATGTATATATTTTACAGGTGTTTTAAGCAAATAGGTCTTAACGTCAGTCCACCTGGTGCAGAATCTTATCAGCCAGTGGTTTCTTCTGTCTCTCTAGGACTCCAGTGGTGATAGATCTGCGCTCCCCAGTCTACACAACTGTTTCAGCAATAATAAGGGGTTGCAATGTTTTTATAAATGTGGGCAGCACAGTGCCTAAATGGTTAGCTCTTCCGCCTGGCAGTACTAGGGTCGTTGGTTCGAATTTTAGCCATCACATCCCCTGCCTGGAGTTTGCATGTTATCCCTGTGCCTGCGTGGGTTTCCTCCGGGTACTCCGGTTTCCTCCTACACTCCCAAAGACATGCTGGTAGGTTAATTGAATCCTGTCTAAATTGACCCTTGTATGCGTATGTATGAATGGGAGTTCGGGATCTTAGATTGTACACCCCTTGAGGGTTAGGGACTGATGTGAATGTACAATGTATACAGTATGTGTAAAGCGATGCGTAAATTGACGGCACTGTATAAGTACCTGAAATAAATAAATATAATGTGATGCAATCTGGACAATTATAACAGAGGTAACAAATCTATTGACAAAAATGAGAAACAAAGCAAAGGGTACATTAAAAAAATAGTATGCAGACAAGTAAACGTAGGCTTCTGAATATTAACCACACTTATAAACAGAGAGGCATCCAAATAGTCTGATTTGTTTCTGAAAGTAGTTATACTCATAATAAATAATAAACCTCAATTCCGTTAAAGCTAAATTCCAGAAAACATGAAAAAACCTCTTGTGCAGGGGGCTGCAGGGGTTAATTGCTTGTTTTTGTCTAGAGGACTTGGTAAAGCACTTTACTTATCTGAACCTCCAGGCTACTCTGTGCTGCTAGACCAGTCCCTGCAGCTTCTCCTTCTCTATCCTCCAGCAGTCTAAGGTCCTCTAATGTCAGTCAAGACAGAAGCATACAATAGCCCTGCATTGGCCGTGTGGACACTGGGGAATAGTCAACCACCATTGCATGGTGGAGTGCTGTCTGCCAGGAAAGTGAAGGATCGGATAAGTAAAACTACTTTTCCATCCCCTAGACAGAAACAAGTAGTCAGCCTTTGCAGCGCTGGTTCAGCCCAAATGCAAGGGAGAGTTTTTTAGGTTCCCTGGAGTTGGGCTTTAAATGCCAATATTCATATATGGTAACACTTGCTGAGATGAACAAGCAAACAATAGGATTAAAAACTTGCCTTTCCAGGAGAAAGAGTTGATGCAGGTTCCCTTCTGTGCTAGTCACATAACTGAAATCCTGGGCTTTTGGGCTTGTTGTCTGTGCAAGAGTGGTGAATCAGTTTTGATTGGTCAAATTGTGGACCAAAAGCCAGTACTAAGGGAACATGGCGTAGCACTTTTTCCAGGAAAGGTAAATAATTCTGTCCATAAATCCATCAACACCATCTGTGTATAACTTTTAGCAAATGCACATTTCAGAATCAGACAAATAAATATAACACATACAGGTTTTCACGGTAATAGGTGAAGCCAATAAAAGGCAGCTGGTTCCCAGCATAGGCTTTAGGGACTGGGAAGGTCTCCACGTCCCCTTTGTCATCTTCAATGTCATCAAAATTGCTGGTGTCGACGTCACTACTCAACTCGGGGACCACAGGGGCAGCCGCTATGGAAGAGAAAGAAAACAAACTGTTAACACATGAGAATAAACTTTGATACACAACTCCAGATCAATCTACTCATTAGCAATTCAAAGTATACATCTGTCAAAGGATTTCATACCTGTACTTACCTCTCACTAACAATGTATTGTTTGTTCCTTTCATTTTAGTAAGACGGCTGAATCACTAACTGATCTTAGCACCTATATTTACTTGGGTTTCTAAGAGGATATCCTCAAAACATACATTGATTCTAAAGACTGAGAACTTTCTAAAGAGATGGCAATCGCAGTACCACAATATGATGGTTAAGCACTAAAGCTAACAAACTTGGGTGACAAGTTAATTATATTAACTCCATGGTTCTATTTTTCCTTCCTCATGTGTGCAGCACATTCCATTACTGAGCACTTCACCAGGGTCCCACAGCAGATATCCACAGTGCCGAAAGATTTCTGCTGACAGCAAAATTCTGAGACACATGGACCTCCATAATAAAATGAAAAAGTACTGACTTGGTCTGCCTGGCTCCCCGGCTGGGTACCTCCACCAAACCGTGCCTCCTGCCCACTAACAATTCCAGCAGACCAATTGTGAATACCAGCCCTTTACCCCAAGTATCATACACAGACAAGATGTTGCGGTAAAAACCAAAGGAATAACTTTATTGAACAGAAATACAGGTTTTTATATACTTGAAAAATATGGGCAGTCCCCTCATGAACAATAAAAACAAATATTACACATTGGGGAAAACATCCCACAATGGTTAAGCAAAGAGGTAAAGTTGACAGAAGATGAATCACATCCAGACAGAAACAATAGATTACCAAATCAACAATAGAAATTCACACCTAGGAGGCACAAAATGGGGAAATTACACAATGGGAGAAAGACACCTCACACCTACACAGGATAGGCAAACACAGGTACACATTATAACAAATAACACACCACAGCTTAATAAACAGATTACACATAACAGCAAGAGACCCCAGCATCAGGTTGTTTGAGCAGATTATAATCTTCTGCTTTGAGTTTTTGAGTCTAGTTGAGGCAGTCCGTACTTATTTGGGCTGTTGATTCTATACCCCAACGAAAACAAAGAGGGCCCAAATCTGTATCCAGGTCTTCCAGTTCTCAGAGTCTGTGTGGTTTGGGGAATCATGGACTTGAATCCAAAGGAAAAACTACTCCAGGCACACATCTTCCAAATAATAGAGCCCCCTAAAATGCCAGAGCCCATAGTCAGTAGGCAAGAGGCTAGCCTGCAGTCCCCTCCAGAAGCCCCTGTCCCAGTTGGGTCTAGGCTTGAAGCTAGTGTTTCTTGAATTTTGGCCTGGATCATTTTTCTGATTCCACCTTAGCAGTAAAGTTAGGAGTTCTAGAATGCCCTCTGGGCGCATCCCATCGTACTGAATGAAGATGGGAAAATGTCTCTGCACCTATGGACCTCAGAAAAATATCTGTTTATGGCCAGGCTTAGTGCTAAAGCCTTGCTAGTAACAGTTTAATGCTGTGGCTCTTACAAAGGTCCCGGTTTCCTTTTGCAAATGTTTAAGAAGGTGATTTCTGTTTTTGGTTTCCAGACAAGTACTCACAAACAGGCTTTACAAATTTCTTAATATGAATACATGGAGGTCAAACAAGTCAAGTCCGGACAACTGCTCGCTCAAGAAACGGAGTATGTCTGCTAGCATCCAGTTGAGTGACATAAGACGGACACTGCAACCCAAACAAACAGTTCACTTTCCAATAGAGACACAGACAGCAATCAAAACTAATCTGAATTAGTTCGTGTTTCTCCTCTTTAAAACAAAAATTTTATGTTGGGCTTTTGGCAATCTCTGAGAGACTTACATTTTGCCAGAACCTAAAAAGCCAGAGATCACATGAGTCCACTGACCACAACAGAATAAGATGCCATAAAACTAGGCCAGCTGCAAACCCGCTGGATTGCAATAGGTTACGGGAATCTTTAAATAAAAACAAGTGGTCAAAAAGGCCAGCAACAGATCCCGAGCATGTCAGCCAGTATCTGCCGTACATGGCAGTCTAGGCACACAGCACGTGTAGTGGTGCAGGAACACAAGCATCATTCTATGAGCCATAGAATACTGGGGGCTTTGTGTAATACAGAAATATTGCACACTCTCCTAACAACCTTCTTATTCACAGAGAGAAGGGGAAATCATACATTCCTCTGCTGGAACAGGAGGGATAAGTCAACAACACCCAGCATAAATAGTCCAGCAAAAAAAAAAAAGAAACTGAAATGAATATATATATATATATATATATATATATATATATATATATATATATATATATATACACATACACACACACACACACACATACATACAGGGGTGGACTGACCATTTGGAAACTCGGGCACTGTCTGAGGTCAGTAGGGGGCAAGGACACAGGGGCCCCATGATCCCCTATTGCCCGGGGGCCCCATGAGTTGTCAGTCCGCCACTGATACATACATACATACACACACATATATATATATATATATATAATATATATATATATATATATATATATACACATACATACATACACACATACAGTGAAGGAAATAAGTATTTGATCTTGAAATCAGCAGGGGATCAAATACTTACTTCCGAGAGAGAGAGAGAGAGAGAGAGAGAGAGAGAGAGTACACACACTACTGTGCAAAAGTTCTAGACAGGTGTGCAGAGATGCTGTAAAGTAAGGATGCTTTCAAAAATATACTTTGTTTATTTTTTATCAATTTACAAAATGAAAAGCGAGCAAACAGAAGAAAAATCTAAATCAAATCGATACTTGGTATGGCTACCCTTTCGCTTCAAACCAGCATCAATTCTTACACTTTTTACACTTGCACAAAGTAAGGGATTTTATAGGATTAGAGTCACACGCATCATAAACATGGTTCTAAATGCTCAAGGTTTTTTACCTTCGTGCATTCTATGCATGAAGGCACACAAAAAAAACTCTCAGTGTGCAGTGCTACCCCCAACCCCCTCAATCCTTACCTGAGCCCCATCCAATCCAGCGCTGTTCACAGTAGCCTCGGCTGTACGGGAACTCTCGCTCATAGGCAGAGACAGCAACAGGAGCCCATAGGCTCCCAAGGTTGTCAATCACAGCCAGTGAGCCAATGAGAAGATAGCAAGAGGGTGGGGCTAAGCCATGGCTCCATGTATCTTATGGACACATAGAGAAGTGGCTCAGGAGTGAATACGCAGCAGTGCCCCCAGGGCAAGCAGCTTTCTCTGGGGGCACTGCTCTAAGGGGAGGATCCAGGAGCACCAGAGGGGACCCGAAAAGAAGAGGATCAGCGAAGCTGTGTGCAAAACCGGTTCGTTTATCAGCCGATTTTTCATCGTTTGTTCTGTAAACCAATGTTGCCACCAATGATTTTGAAAATCGGTAGTTTTTCAGAAATTTTACAACATGACTGATAAACGAAATGAGAAACCACGAAAATCGGCCGATGCCATTGCCCCACTAACAGTGCGAAAATCGGCCGATTATTCTTTCGGACGAAAAATCGGCCGATAAACGTCTATGGCCTGCAATACACTTATCCATCATGCCACACCATAAGGGAGGCATGCGGTTGGCCCCAAAATTTATTCTGCAGAAGAACAACAAACATACAGCCAACGACATTAACCTCTTTCCCCCCCACCCTATCGCAGAAATACTGCTACAGGGCGGCAGGGCTGCGCAAAATCATGTATATATACGTGGTTTCCAGGCAGCAGCGGCTAAGAATGTCAATCACCAGGTCCCGGACGGTGATTCCCATCTGGCACTCAGCGATCAGCGGGTAAAGCTGACAGAGGAGAGACCTGTATGTAGACACACAGGTCTCTCTCCTGTCAGCATGGACATGCTGCTTTGTATATCTCCATCTCAGAGAGATACAAAAAAGCATATCTCCCTAGTAAAAAAAACAGCACATAGCAAAACCCTTAGATCACCCCAGATTTTAACCCCTTCCTGCCCAGTGTCATTAATACAGTGTCAGTGCTGTTTATTAGCACTGATCACTGTATTAGTGTCACTGGGGATGTCAGTGGCAGTTAGTTCCCACCCAGTGTCAGAATGCTCGCCGCAGTTCCCAGTAAATATACACCACCATTTGCAGACACTACAACTTTCATGTAAACCAATTTAATTTTTAATTTTTTTTTTTATTGGATATGCTTTATAGCAAAAAGTAAAAAATATTGTATATTTTTATTTTACAAATAACAAACAGTTTATGTATAGAGATGCATGACCACGCAATTGTCAGTTAAAGTAACGCAACGCCGTATCACAAAAAATGGCCTGGCCAGGAAGAGGGGTAAATCCTCTGGAGGGCAAGTGGTTAAAAACTATCTTCAGGGTAAGGAAAAAGGAGTCCTGGAAGTGGTTTGGTCCCCATAGTGCCCTGATCTCCACATCAGAGAGAACGATTTGAGGCAGCCTACATTCACAGAGGATCTGTTGTTATTTCTCCAAGATGTTTGGAACAACCTACCTACCAAGTTCATTCAAAAACGGTGTTCAAGTCTACCTAGAAGAACTGATGAAATTTTGAAGGCAAAGGGTGGTCACGCCAAATATTAATTTGATTTGGATTTCTCTTCTGTTTATTTACTCTCCACATACACACACACGGTTATGTTTGGTAAATGTCACATTCATTGCCTTATAATTGTGTGCAATTGATGTTACAATGGTGTCACTCCCTGGCCATATTGTGGAGTTACTTGTCCACAGCATAACCGCCAACTTGCACAATTCAATCCCATCAAGAACTCCCCTATACACACCTAAGATGGACATAATGGCAGGAGAGGAGCAGTGTACATAGTGAGATACTGCTAAATGTCACTGCCGGTTTTTTAAATGCAATTACCAGCTTTTTCCCCCCTTCACTATAGCTCTGAGAATGAGCTGTCATCCTCTCCTCCACAAAGGGAAAATAAGAAGCAGGGTCAATGTGTGACCCCGCCCCTTAGTGAAAGAGAGGATGACAACTTATTCTCTGAGCTTTAGTGAAGGGGGAAAAAAATCTGGCAATTACATTTAAAAACCGGCATTGTTTTTAAATGCAATTTACAACTTTTTTTCTTTGCTATTGCTCCAAGAATGAGCTGTCATCCTCTCCTCCACTAAAGGAAACTAAGGGGTGCGATCACTGGCTAATGTCACTGGGTGACCCTGCCCCTTAGTTTACCTTAGCGGAGGAGAGGATGACGGCTCATTCTTGGAGCAATAGCAAAGAAAAAAGCCCGTAATTGCATTTAAAAACAATGTCGTTTTTTTAAATGTAATTACCAGCTTTTTTTTTTCCCCCCTTCACTAAAGCTCCGAGAATGAGCTGTCATCCTCTCCTCCGCTAAGGGGCGGGGTCACAGTGGCATTACCCAGTTACCCCGCCTCTTAGTTTCCTTTAGCAGAGGGGGAGAATGACAGCTCATTCTTGGAGCTATACTGAAGGGGGAAAAAAAGCCAGTAATTACATTTAAAAAATGGCAGTGACACAGGGGCAGCCACTGTATACACTGCTCCCTCACTATATAATATATATCCTCACCTGCCCTCTTTGCAGACAATGCCCCCCCCCCCCCCCAATCACTCCCTATAAAGAGGACCTGTCACTCATATGCCATCACATAGGAGACTATTGGTCCCCTATGTGATCGCAAAATCATAAGTAAAAAAAATAAATAAAAATACACATTAGTTTAAAAAAAATGCAAAAAAATTTGAGCCTCCACATACGCAGACATTTTGGTTTTCGGCCACTTGCATTCTGAATTTTCGGTAATGGTTTCGGCACCAGAATTCCCATTTAGGTGCACCAATACTGCTTATAAAATGTGAGCTGGAGTTCAGCTTCATTTTGTTAGTGTATCTAAATCTGCTAGTACATCTAGCACTACTCTCCCTCCCAGACTGACAATGCTGCTATAAAGGTGCCCCTGTGCTCCTTCATTCAGCGTAGAGGCACTTTAAGACAAGAGATGTGTTACTGGCCAGATCACCAGGTGAAAGAGGGCAAAAGGCTAAAAAAAAAAAAAAAAACTATTGCAGCCACCACATGGTAATCTGTAATATATTACATTTTTGGTTTTGGGTTTGGTAAGCTGCAATAGGTTACATTTTTGGTTTTGGGTTTAATACCACTTTAAACTTTTTATCAGGTAATGCATACACCCTTTAGCATACTGGAAACTGTATATTGCACAAGTAGTATCGACTGAAGTCAGAAGGGAAAGTGACTGTTTTGGAGAGAACATTTTTTTTAATCAAAACTACTGCTTAAAATATTTATTATATGAGGCCCTACGCTTGACTTTATAAAGCCTTTGCGACACTATTCCTTCCACTGATACGAGGTACTATTCCTTCCACTGACACCAGAGATGGGGAACAAATTTTCCCATTACACCAGTGACGGGACACTATCCCTTCCACTAACATCAATAATGGTTCACTATTCCTCTTATTGACACCAATGATGGGACACTATTCCTCCCACTGACATCAATAATTGGACACTATTCCTCCCATTGACACCAATGATGGGACACTATTCCTCCCACTGACATCAATAATGGGACACTATTCCTCCCACTGACATCAATAATGGGACACTATTCCTCCCACTGACACCAATGATGGGACACTATTCCTCCCACTTACATCAATAATGGGACACTATTTCTTCCACTGATACCAATGATGGGGCAATATTCCTCCCACTGATACCAATAATGGGGCACTATTCCTCCCAATGATACCAATAATGGGACACTATTCCTCCCGACATCAATAATGGGACACTATTCCTTCCAATGATACCAATAATGGGACACTATTCCTCCAGACATCAATAATGGGACACTATTCCTCCCACTGATACCAATAATGGGACACTATTCCTCCCGACATCAATAATGGGACACTATTCCTCCCAATGATACCAATAATGGGACACTATTCCTCCCGACATCAATAATGGGACACTATTCCTTCCAATGATACCAATAATGGGACACTATTCCTCCAGACATCAATAATGGGACACTATTCCTCCCACTGATACCAATAATGGGACACTATTCCTCCCGACATCAATAATGGGACACTATTCCTCCCACTGATACCAATAATGGGACACTATTCCTCCCGACATCAATAATGGGACCCTATTCCTCCCACTGACATCAATAATGAGATACTATTCCTTCCATTGACATTAATAATGGGACACTATTCCTCCCACTGACACCAATGAGGTATTTTTTTTTTTTCCCATTGACCACCAAGCCCATAGCACTGATGCCTGGGCATTTTCTACTTCCATTGGCCACAGTCCAGCCCCCTAACATTTGAAGGGCTGAAAACTGGCCCTTTGTTTTGAAAGTCTGGAGACCCCTGATTTACATGATTAGGAATCAACATTTAGAGCAGGGAAGTATTAGAACCTTTGCTGCAATATTATGGCTATACAGGTCTATAATAGAGAAATTTCTTCTCACTTACTGCTCCTGTGAAAACAAAACACTTTTTTTTTGTCTGTGATCCTGTTGTTGATTCTCCTCATTTTCCTATTTGGTCACACCAACTGTCACCCTAACAGTAATGGGGGAATCCTTCTAATGGAGACATGAATTGCAGTAAAAATCAAACTGGGGTTATATAGTTATTGCAGGTACTTATATAGCACCGCCAATTTACACAGCGCTTTACATGCATATATATTGTACATTCACATCAGTCCCTAACCCTCAAGGAGCGTACAATCTAAGGTGCCTAACTCACATTCATACATACAAGTGCCAATTTAGACAGGAACCAATTAACCTACCACCTACCAGCATGTGTTTGGAATGTGGGAGGAAATCGGAGTACCCGAAGGAAACCCACGCAGGCACAGGGAGAACATGCAAACTCCAGGCAGGTGGTGCCATGGTTGGGATGTGAACCAACAACCCTGGTCCTGCCAGGTGGAAATGCTAACTATTTAGCCACTGTGCTGTTCGTTCTAATCTTTTCACACATTATTCAAAACAAAAAAAAAAAGGTTTTGCAGGACATGCATTTTAACTGATCAGGATTTTGCTGCTCTCTGTTTTATAGATGAGTGTTCTTAATCTAAACAGCAGTGTGTCTTAAATATAAAAGTATATTTATGTATACACACACACACACACACACACACACACACACACACACACATACATATGTACACTCATACATACAAACACATACATCATATATATACATATATATATATACACATATATATATATACACATATACACACACATGTACATACACACTATATACTATATGTATAATTTTATGTATTTACTTATTCCCTTCCTTTCCTTTAAAATATTTTTTTTAATGTTCGATCTAACATTGCAATTGTACCTTATCAAAGATAAAGACAATGCAATATACCAGGAGAAAATAACATAACTACAAAATTGTGCACGCTAGTAACACAAAGCGCTCATCATAGGCATGCAACATCATAACTGCAACAAAAAGGGAGGTGGGGGGGGGGGGGGGGGGTTGCATTTAAGCCAGTGGAAGCAGGGTAACTAATGTCTTGGTAATGAAAATCACATGTCCCAACTACATTTCAATCTTTCAAAAAATAAACATTAGCATGAATTAAAGCACATTAAAGTAAAAAAAACAAAAAAAAAACAGAAGATGCTATCACAAAGAAATGAAATAATGCATTTTTCCGGTTATGATAGGAGGAACTCTTACTCTCTCGGATGTTGTCCCAGGTCCACTGGTCGTTCTTGAAGAAGGCGTGTTGTTTTATCTCCTCTATGCCATTCCTCCCGAGACGCACCTCTCTGTACATAGCAGAAGAATGACAAGCGACATCAGCACAGTCTACACATGAAGAGACAAGTAGCCTTTCTACAAGATCTGCTTGGGTCATGCCCTGTCTGCAGGAACATCCTCACAGTGGCTAGCAGACCCCTTTGCGGCTCCTCTCTGGGCTATGCAAAATGCATCTGATGCCTCACATCAGAGGGGATGAAAAAACAGTTTCAGCCTGTTAAATTGCCACGTGTGGAATGAAAGAGTTTTCCATCCCTAACGCTACGTGCGAGGGGAAGCTCAGAAAACACTGGGCCAGCGGTTTAAATTAAAAAAAGGATCCTTTCAAAGCGGGCTGCCAAGCACTATGACAAAGGATACATATGGAGGATTAGGATAGCTGCGCCAGGGTTCTTTAACCCCTTCTTGGCCCCGATGCCTCCACACCCATACTTTGCAGAGTCAGACCAATGTAAATATAAACCTTCGCTGTATTAACGGCTTACTGACTACTGTACAGAGGTGTTGGGTTCTAGAGCCCAGATGAACATAAATATTTAGATTGGCCACACCAAGCCCTCGGCAAAAGCTGAAAACAGGACTCCCAGTGATTTCAGAAGAGTCAGAAGTCAGAGTTCATCTCTAAGGTCTTATGCACACGGGCGTACGAATTTATGCCCCAAATATGACAGATTGTTTCTGCCAGAGTCTTGGCAGAAAAAAATGCCTCTAATGTTGCATATGTATGCATGTATAGTGTTCAGCGTAAATACATTCTGCTGGACAGAATATTAAATGTATTCTGGCAATTAGACTACATTTACGTTCATAGGCATGTAAATTATGCTCATATATACAGCTGGTAAAATAAATATTGAACACGTCACCGTTTTTATAAGTAAATATATTTCTGAAGGTGCTATTGATATGAAAATTTTCACCACATGTCAGTAACAACCCATGCAATCCATACATACAAAGAAACCAAAACAAATACGATCAGAAATTAAGTTATGTGTAAATAAAATGGAATGACACAGGGAAAAAAGTATTGAACACACTAACTGAAATTTATTTAATACTTTGTACAAAATCCTTTGTTGGTAATGTCAGCTTCAAGATGCCTCCTGTATGGAGAAACTAGTTGCATGCATTGATCAGGTGTTATTTTGGCCCATTCTACCACACATAAAAATATTCAAATCTTGAAGGTTCTGTGGGTCTCTTCTATGAACTCTCATCCTTTGTTCTTTCCATAGAATTTTCTATTGGATTCAAGTCAGGTGATTGACTGGGCCATTCTAGTAGCTTTATTTGAAACCAATTGATAGTTTCCTTGGCTTTGTGTTTGGGATCATTGTCTTGCTGAAATATCCACCCTCGTTTCATCTTCATCATTCTGGTAGATGGCAGCAGATTTTTATCAAGAACGTCTTGGTACATTTTTCTATTCATTCTTCCTTAAAGGACATGAAGTCTGCTAGTACCATGTGCTGAAAAACAGCCCCACATCATGACGTTCCCCCACCTCCAAACTTCACTGTTGGTATGGTGTTTTTGGGATGATATGCAGTACCATTTGAGCTCCAAACATGGTGTGTATTATGGCATCCAAAGAGCTCAATTCTGGTCACATCTGACTAGACTATATTTGTAGCAAACTTTAAACGAGCTTCAACATGCTTTTTCTTCAGCAATGGAGTCTTGCGTGGTGAGCGTGCATTCAGGCCATGGCGGTTGAGTGCATTAGTTGTTTTCTTTGAAACAATTGTACCTGCTAATTCCAGGCCTTTCTGAAGCTCGCCACAAGTGGTCCTTGGCTCTTGGACAACTCTTCTGATAATTCTTTCACTCCTCTGTCAGAAATCTTGCAAGGAGCACTTGGTTATGGCCGATTTATGGTATAATAATGTTCTTTCCACTTCCGGATTATGGCCCCAACAGTGCTCACTAGAACATTCAGAAGTTTAGAAATCCTGTAACAAATGCCATCAGTATGTCTTGCAACAATAAGGTTGTGAACGTCTTGAGAGAGCTCCTTTCTTTTACCCATCATGAGATGTTTCTTGTGTGACACCTTGTGTAATGAGACACTGTTATATAGGCCATCAGTTGAGACTGAACCCACTGATATTAATTTGCACTGACAAGGGGCAGGATTGCTTTCTAATTACTGATAGAATTCATCTGGTGTCTTGGCTTTCCATGTGTTTTTGTACCTCCCTTTCTTCATGTGTTCAATACTTTTTCCCTGTGCCATTCCATTTTATTACACATAATGTCATTTCTGAACTTATTTGCTTTGGTTTCTTTGCATGGATGGATTGTATGGGTTGTTAACTTTTGGTTAAAATTTCAAGTAAATAACACCTTTAGAAATATATTTACCAAGAAAAATGGGGAAGTGTTCAATACTTATTTTACCCGCTGTACTCCTCTCTTCACACAGTTTTGGTGTTTTTTTATGCCTCTAAACGCTGCTCTTAAAATACTGATCTAAACACTTGATGTAAATGGACACCTAGGCTAATGCAGAAGTGTGTTTGGAGGCATAAGAAAAATAAAAAAAGCCAGACACCACTAACCGCAGCATTTTTCTAGGGGCATCATCTATTATTCTGCCCATGTGCTTTAGAATTAACTGGACTACCATAAAGTACAATCTGATTGGTTGCTGTGGGCTACTGCACACCACCATTGCTGACCACCATCACCATGTCTTTTTTGCAATAGAGAGCCTGCCTGGTTGCAGTTTGCCTAAAGATCTGCTGTACAAAACAGTGAACAGGCAGGCAGGCTTTTATTGCAGAAGAGACATGCCATTTCTAATGTGCAATATAATGCCCCTATCCGTCTGCTGACTGACTGTCATCTCTGGCGCTGTAAACTGAGCTACGTATGCACATCTCAGCTTACAATGCCAGGCTGGTCTCTGAGTACCAGGATGACTAGCTTCTGCACAGGCGTAGGATTGACGCCATCCTCCATCAGCCAATGAAGAGGTCCAAAGACCGACACTCAAAAGAAAATGCTGGTAAGGAATAGTTGGACAGTTAGGTATTTACCCTTTAGTTCCGCTTTATTTATTTATTTATTACAGGTACTTGTATAGCGCTGTCAATTTAAGCAGCACTTTAGATACATATATTTTACATTCACATCAGTCCCTAACTGTCAAGTGGCGCACAATCCAAGGTCCCTAACTCATAGTCACACATTGACCAATTTTAAACAGGAGCCAATTAACCTACCAGCATGTCTCTGGAGTGTGGGAGGAAATCGGAGTACCCGGAGGAAACCTATGCAGACACAGGGAGAACACGCAAACTCCAGGCAGGTGGTGCTGTGGTTGGGATTCGAACTAGTACTGCCATGTGGAAGTGCTAACCATTTAGCCACTCTGCTGCCCATAAAGAAGAACTAAACCCATCCATTCAACTGTTTAGCAAAACCATTATGTACAATGCATGCCGTAAGTGATAACTGTCACAGTTGCTTGTGCTCCTCTTCAAACTGTCGAGCTATCAAACGCCTGGTGTCATTACTGATCACATGTGCTGTGCCATGGCAACTGCAAATCAAACAGAGGCTAAGATGGCAGCTTTCTTGGCTATAAAGGATAGGAGGGTTTAGTTCCGTTTTAAATTCTGCGATTGATCAGTCACTTAGGATATCTGCTCAACACGTAAACATTCATGTTTGCCTGTTTTAAGCCAATATCGGTAAACACAGATCCTTCAGAAGCATGATCATTCAGTGATGGCATCTTAAAACTACAGGCACCTTTACAACTTAATGTATAAACCACAGGTATGTGTAATATTTCCAGAAATAAAGGCATTAGGAGTTTGCAAGAACAAGACAATTTTCTACGCATCCATGGGTGGGACCTTCACTGCAGCCATAGCGCTACAGAAAAATCCAGGCACAACCCCCCTGTGCGCTGATCGGACGATGATCGTGCAGCAGCACATTAATGGTATCAACCATCTGCTCCTTGCACTCTCTCCATCTATCTGCAAATGTGCACTGCTGTTAAGGTTGATTGGCTTCTAGTGCTCACCCTCACTTAATCCTAAAGTGTTACTAAACCCACAATGGTAAAATCAGTCTGTATATGCAGTAAAGCATGCTTGTTATACACACTGTGGAACCTAAGAGGTTAATCCTCCGCATTGTGTAAAAAGGCTGTTTGACCCTGTCTTCTCTGATCCTTCCCTTCTTCCACAGTCCCCAATCCATCTGCTGACAGCACAAAGCCCCAGGAAGCACTCTGCACATGCTCAGTTTGATGTGTATTGCTATAGAAGTGTTTTTTTTTTTTTTGGGGGGGGGGGGGGGTGCATGTGATCAGCACAGGGCCAATCAGCACAAACACAAAACAACTGCAAAGGACAGACTGTGTTAAAACTGTAATAGAAAATAGCCATGCAGAGTAACACTGTAGAAAACTACATACAAAACTTTATTTGAAATCCTATACAAAAAGGTATATACCTTGCAATAATGGACAGACACAAAAAAAATCAGTGATGAAAATTCTGGGTTAAAATAATCAGTCTGGGCTACAATCTCTGCATACGGTCAGTGACATAAATCAAAGCAGCCTGAGAGGGCCACGAGCACTCAAATGTATGTCACGGAGTCTGAAAACATCGGCATTCCATTACAACTAGAGTAGCACTGAAGGCAATACTACTGCATACACATGCTAATGAACAAAAAAAAAAGTATACCATATCTAATAAAGGTATCTAAACCATGAATGAATTGGTAAATAACTAATCAGTGTAGACTTGTATGGATTATGATGGTAAGAATCAATACTATCCAAAGTGGAAGCGCTTTATGCAAAGCCATGAATTAAGAGTCTCCAATAAAGATCGGTGTAAACTTTGTATGTCTGGTCATCAGGCAGAAGAAAAGCAAGTATGCATGGCTTAAATAGGTTGGCATGGAACAAGCACAAGCAACAACCCTCTCAGGATGCTTTAATTGATGTCAGTGACCATATGCAGACATTGTAGTC